TGGTAACAGACCTTATGTCAAAAACAAAGGAAGACAACACTAGACATTAGTCCCATTGCTTTCCTGACCACAGTGTTTCTACTTGGGCAGGGACAGTGGTGATGGGGAAGTGACGGTTACAGCCTGTGACTTCACACAGGGTGCGTACTGCATAAGCGTGCACTGACCCCGGTGCCCAGTGGAGGCAGGACAGTGATTTTCCTCCATCAGAGGAAAATGTCCACTTCCACCAGCTCTTCCCTGCGGACACCACAGCAGCTCTTCTACTGGTCTGCCTTGGCCCCTCCAGAATTAGTGGCTGATGGGCACAGTGAGACGCTGTGGGCATTGTCCTGGAGGTGGGTGCCTGGAAAAAGGGGGCACCCCCTCTATTCCCAAGGCAGGGCTGCCTCTACCCAGAGCCGATGTGGGGCCGCCCCCTGAGCGTTGACAGGCCACGGGCAGGAAGCCTGTCATCTGTTGGCTATTGCTGATTTTGTTCTTTGCGTTTGTTGTTTGGTGGTACTGGGACTTTAACTCAAGTCCTTGTGCTTTGCCACTTGAACCATGCCCCCAGTCCTGTTTGTCTTAGTTGTTTTTCAGCTAGGGTTTTACATGTGTGCCTAATCTGGCCTGGACTGTGGTCTTCCTGCTCAGGCTTCTGACACAACAGGCATGACAGGAGAGTCACCAGACCCAGTTTTGATTGGTTGAAATGGCTCAGATGTTTGTTTTTACCCTGGCCAGCTTCAAATCTCACATGATTCCAGTGTCTCAGCCTCCCAACAAGCTAAGATCCCAGGCACTCACCACAAGGATCCCCCTCTTAGGCATACATTTGTGTGGAAGAATTTTAAAAGTGGTCTGAGACCCAGGTGCCCATGGCTCACACCTGTAATCCCTGGCTATTCAGGAGGCTGAGACCTGAGGATCATGGTTCTAAGCCAGCCTGGGCAAGAAAGTGCATGAGACTCTTATCTCCAATTGACCAAAAAAAGCTGGAAGTGGAGCTCTGGATCGAGTGGTAGAGCACCTGTCTTGAGCACAAAAGTTAGGAACAACCCCCACAGTTCAAGTCCCAGGATGAGCAAAAAAAAAGTGAGCTGCCCTCTAGAGTAAGCCTAGCTCTGTCCTTGGATGGTCCTTGCTAAGGACTGGTTGCAGAAGCACCGTGATTTCCCTCCTGCCCTGCCACGGATGCATCTCGTCCTTGGTAGGACAGAGGCCGATAATCAGAACGCTGAGACCTCTGCCGTTGCCCAGTGGCACCCCAGGCACAGCTGGTCTGGCCGGAGATCTAGGCAGCAAGGTGGGCCACTAGGGGCTTGCAAAAAGCGCGTGCTGAGATGTTTTATCAGTTCCTCTTCAAGCAGAAACCCAGAACTGTTTCTTTGGAATCCAAAGGTTTCGTCTCCTCCTTACCTAGCCTCCAGTTTTGTCCCAGCAACAAGTCCTCAGGTGGTTTTTGTAGTGAGGTGGACAGTGGTAAAGGAGAGTTCTGGAAGTTGGGAGTATAGCTCGTTTTTTTAGGGGACTCCCCCCACCTCCAGGCTTTCCCGGCCATAGGGCTCACGTATGGAGACAGAGCTGTCAAATTGGGCTGAACTGGTTTTTTTGCCCTGTGTGCAAGGAGGGAGAGGAGGCCCCAGCAGGGGTCCACCCCTTCCTGTGACGGTCTGTGGTTTCTCTGTGCAGGCAGGAGCTGGGGACATGGATGGGTTCCAGGCAGACACGGAGGAGGAGGAGGAAGAGGACAGCGACTGCATGATAGTGGACATCCCCGATGTTGGTAAGGAGGGCAGAGCCGCAGGTACAGAGGGATCACGAGCCGGGCAGAAGGCATTTCAGGGGCCCAGCCATGGGCACACCCATCAGCTGGTCACCAGAGAGGAGTCAGGGCCGGTGAGTGGGCCCCAGTACCTCCCCCCTCCCACCAGATGCACCCCCAAGAAGGTTCTTCCCCGGGGCGGGGGACCTAACCTGAGGGATACAGCTGCGCAAAGACCCTCCTCTCTGCCTCCCTCAGAAGCCCAACAGCCGTGCAGAGTCACTTCTGGAGCTGAGGGCACCGTGGGGCTGGGCACTGGTGAGAGCCTGCTGCCCGCAAACCCGCTCGGCGCCTCCTGAGGGCCCAGCACCGCTGGGTGCCCCCACCGCTGACCGGATACTTGAACTTTCTACTTGGACTCCTGTAAAGAGCACTTTGTCCTGCTTTGCTGGCCTCACCAAGGCCTGGAGAGTTTTTATATAGGATGCTTGATTCCTTTCCTTTAGACACGTGTAAAAATTTCCCAGAAAAGCTGCATATAATCTGTCCTTTAATAAAGCATTATTGCAAGGTGGTGACTCCTCCCGGCCGCCTGCTGCCCCCCCACCCCTCGGTGCTGGGGTCAAACGCCTGTAAATGAATTGAAGCAACAGGGATGCTGGGGCCTGGAGGCCAGTGCCTGGACTGATATGGAAGTGTATAAACTTATTCTCTAGCCCTGAACTGTCTTGTGTCAGATGCATCATTTCTTTGGTGAGTGTGTCTCGCTGCGGCCCAGTATGGTCTGGTCTGCTGGGAAAGCGTTGCCCCCGGTGTATAGTCCTCAATTCCTCAGCTTCCCTGGCTGCCCTGGCACAGGTGCTTCTGCCGCTCAGTCAAGTGTGTGTTCCTGAGTTCACTCATCCTCCTCCCCCCAACTCTTGTGTACATGCCTGGGCGCTGCCCTGAGTTTTTTTACTCAAGGCTGGTGCTCTCCCACTTGAGCCACAGCTCCGCTTCCAACTTTTTGCTGGTTCATTGGTGATAAGAGTCACATGGAACCAGGGCTGGTGACTCACACCTGTAACCCTAGCTATTCAGGAGGCTGAGATCTGAGGATCATGGTTCAAAGCCAGCCAGGGCAGGAAAGTCCATGAGACTCTTATCTCCAGAAAACCGGAAGTGACACTGTGGCTCAAATGTTAGAGCATTAGCCTTAAGCTGACAGTGCTAGCCTTGAGCTAAAGGACAGCGCCCAGGCCCAGAGTTCCAAGCCCCACAACCAATTTTTTTTTCTTTTTTGGGGGAGGAGGGTCCGGTTGTGGGGCCTGAACTCTGGGCCTGGGCGCTGTCCCTCAGCTCTTAGCTCAAGGCTAGCGCTCTACCATTTGAGCCACAGCACCACTTCCGGCTTTTTTCTTTTTGCTTATGTGGTGCTGAGGAATCGAACCCAGGGCCTCATGCATGCAAGGCAAGTGCTCTACCGCTGAGCCACCTTCCCAGCCCACCCTTTTTTTTTTTTAAGCCTATGGACTTAACTGCTTGGGTTGGCTTTGAACCATGTTGCTCATGATCCTCAGATCTCAGCCTCTTGAGTAGCTAGGGTTCTAGCTGTGCCCCACCAGTACCTGGCCCCCATCTCTTTTCCTACAGCCTACCACCCTAGTTCCAGATGGGGTCCAGTTCAAGCCCCACGGCCAAAAAAACAAAAAACACATCATGGGGTCCAGCCAGGCCCTTCTACTGGGGAATAGGGACACAATGCAGTCCTTAGACCATATTACTAGGGCACCTGGCAACTTGGAATCCTAGGAACAGGTAGGCAGGTGGAAGACAGGCCACCCACAGCCAGCCAGGGTGAAGATACCCAGGTACGCTTGTGCAGTTCAGCGCAGTGCAGACAAAGCTGCTAGTGGCCACAGGGAACTAATTGTGACACATTTTGGCTTATTTCTCACTAAGAAATGAAGGACCTTAAAACTTGAAGTCTTGGGGGCTGGGAAGGTGGCTCGGTGGTAGAACGCTTGCTTTGCATGCATGAGACCCTGGGTTTGATTCCTCAGCACCACGTAAGCAGAAAAGGCCACAAGTGCTGTGGCTGAAGTCGTAGAGCGCTCACCTTGAGCTGAGGGACAGCTCCCAGGCCAAATTCAGGCCCCACAACCAACCAAAAAAATAACAAAACTTTGTCAGAGGTGGCAGTGGTCAGAGGACCAGCAACCACAGCCCCCTCACGGGCTGGCATGAAGGGTTTGAGCCAGGTGGCTCAGATACCACCTTGAGTCAGCCTGGAGTGTGGCCTCCCGACACACACTCTCAGCGCTAGGCGTCTATCTCTAGCCTCCCGTGTCCACTAGAACAGGCCAGAAATGGTGCAGATTTATCTCACATTTAGAGGCCCAATGCCAGCCTCCCTGCTGCAGGGGTGGGGGTTCCAGGGAGATTCCATGCTGGCCAGTCCCATCCCTTGACTCCTGGGCCTATCCTCTATCCCAGTGCACTTTCTCCCAGTCTGTTTCAGCCTCCCCGGAGGATCCTGTGAAAAGGATGGGTCTTGAATAGTTCAGGATGATCCCAGCTCTGGGCCTGTCACTTGATCCCATGTGCTCTAAAGACCCTTCTGACACAGGAGGGACAGTCAGGTCCTGAGAATTTTGGCCATGTGTGAACAAATGGGAACCTCAGGCCACAGGTGTGGCCTGGGTGGGTGTTGCCCACAGTTCAAGAGGTAGAACCTCTAAGGCACAGCCCTAGGGAGATAACTAGGTCATTAGCCCCCTCAAAAGAGATTCAGGAGTTGGTGGCTCAAGCTGTTATCCGAGCTGCTCAGCAGGCGGAGGTAGCCAGCCTGTCCATAGGAAGCCATCACCAACTAACCAGCAAAATGCCAGACAGGAGCTGTGGCTCAAGTGGTAGAGCACCAGCATGAGCAAGCATGCGGAGAGGGAGTGGGCCCTGGTGCTTACACGTGCATGTGCCCCATAGTTGTGAAGAACACGCTGTTGCGAACGAACTGCCCCTCCACTGGCTCCCTCTCACCTCGTGACCCTGGCCTCTCCCAGGCCCCCCCATGCCATCTACCATCAAAGCAGCTACACAATCATACTTCAGCCAGCCTTGGCCATCTTGTCACAGCAACATAAAACAGCACTCACTCAGGGCTGGGCATTGTGGGTACAGGTATCTTCTCCGTTTCTGGGGCTATGGCCTGGCCAGACACAAGCCCCTGAGAGCAGGGAGCCATGTCTAGGGCCCCAACAAAACACCAGGAAGCTATAGTTAAATATCCTATTTTATTTAGGTTCATAATTTAGAAATTACACATCTATGTGCTGCCTCTGTCCACAGCTTGTGGTCCTGTCCTCAAGCCTCAGATCTGCTAGACCCAGGGAGAGGCCCACCTGGGAGTACCCTAGGCTCCCCAGGACAGTGGCTGGGGAGGCTTAGATGCAGTGCTGTCCCTAGTGGGCTCCAGTGCATGTCTCTAGCACCCCTGCCTGGGACGAAGCCTCTGGAATGGGCCCCTTACACAGCAACACAGCCAGCCAGCACCCTTGTATGGCCAGGGGCTCTGGGGCAAGGCGGCAGGGCAGCTCCAGGGAGGGACGGATGGGGAGAGCATGAAACAGAGCCGCAGGCCGAGCCAACCCTGCTTTTATTTCAGGAGAGCTTCTCCATGGCCTCCAGGAGCTCCGGTTTCAGCACCGAGGAGTCCAGCTCTGTCCCTGCAGCCCTGATGTCCTCCAGCACAGCAGCATCCCACGCGAAAGTCAGGAGAGCAGAGGGCACCTACAGTGGGACATCAAAGGTCACCTTGTCTCCGTGTGACCTCACAACAGGACAGTCAAGTGGCGCTGGCCCTCCTACAGCAGACTCCTCTGAAGGGGGACCTGGGCTCAGAGACTTGAACCCACCAAAGCCACTGGATACGAAGTCTGAGGTTCCCACATGTCTGCCCACACTGTCCGGCCTGTGGCCTCCCTCCCACCAGGTCCCTGTGTCTTAACTCAATCTCATTCCAAGACTCAGAAGACCTCCACCCTGCCCAGCGCCTGTGGCTCACACCTGCAATCCTAGCTATTCAGGTGGCTGAGATCTGAGGATCATGGTTCAAAGCCAGCTTGGGGGTGGGGGGGGGAGTCTGTGAGACTCATGCCGTGGCTCAAGTGGTAGAGCGGTAGCCTTGAGCTGAAGGGCTGAGGGACAGCGCCCAGGCCCAGAGTTCAAGCCCTATAAGGAACAACCATAAAAAGACCTCCCTCCTTTCCCCCCCTATTTAAGAAAGGAGGGCATCTGACCCACCAGGAATTTACAGTCATTCAAGGTCATGCTAGTCATAAGGTAGACCCTACTCCCAGGTCCTGTCCCACATCAAGACAGATCCTGGCAGCAGGGACCCACAGGGAGCCCTGGCCCCGCCTTCCTCCCCCCCAGAGGCTTCAGGCCACGCCCCTCGCAGCTTCAGGCCACGCCCAGGGGCGGCACCCAGCGCGGCGACCTCACTCACCAGCCCGCACTCGTTGAAGGCCTGGTTCTCTTCCTCCACCAACTTGTGCCCTCCGGATGCCAGCAGCTCAAAAGGCAGCCAGTCGCTCTGCAGGGACTCGCGCACGAACTGGTACAGCGCCGACAGCCGCTCCCGGGCGTAGAAGGTGCCTGGAGACGGGCGAGGGGGCGGGGCCGGAAGAGCGGCGGTCAGACCCCCCCCCCCCCCGCCCGCCCCCCCACCCTCACCCTGCAGGAGTCAGTGGGGCAGGGGCAGGGCCCCCCACGCCCCCTCACCCTGCGGGAGGCAGCCGCCCCTCCCGTCCCCCGCCGTCGGGCAGGGCCCCCTCCTGTCCCCCGCCGTCGGGCAGGGCCCCCGACCCCCTCACCCTGCAGGAGGCAGCCGTCGGGCAGGGCCCCCCACCCCCCGTCACCCTGCAGGAGGCAGCCGTCGGGCAGGGCCCCCCACCCCCCGTCACCCTGCAGGAGGCAGCCGTCGGGCAGGGCCCCCTCCCGTCCCCCACCCCCCCTCACCCTGCAGGAGGCAGCCGTCGGGCAGGGCCCCCTCCCGTCCCCCACCCCCCCTCACCCTGCAGGAGGCAGCCGTCGGGCAGGGCCCCCTCCCGTCCCCCGCCGCCGTCGGGCAGGGCCCCCCGCCCCCCCTCACCCTGCAGGAGGCAGCCGTCGGGCAGGGCCCCCTCCCGTCCCCCACCCCCCCTCACCCTGCAGGAGGCAGCCGTCGGGCAGGGCCCCCTCCCGTCCCCCACCCCCCCTCACCCTGCAGGAGGCAGCCGTCGGGCAGGGCCCCCTCCCGTCCCCCGCCGCCGTCGGGCAGGGCCCCCCGCCCCCCCTCACCCTGCAGGAGGCAGCCGTTGGGCAGGGCCCCCTCCCGTCCCCCGCCCCCCCTCACCCTGCAAGAGGCAGCCGTCGGGCAGGCGCACGCGCAGCAGCGTGTAGGTGTACTTGCGCAGCTCCCGCTGCTCCTCCTTCTCCCGCATGGCCTTGGTGCGCAGCGTGCTCAGCCGCTCCACCGCCTCGGACCTGCGGGCGCAGCGGCTCAGGCCTCGCCCTCCTCCCCGAGGCGGCCCCCCCGACCGAGGCGGCCGCGGCGCCCCCACCTGAGCCTCTGCTCACGCTTGAGCTCCTCGGCCGAGAGGTTGAAGAAGTCGGCGGGGAGGTCGAACTGCGCGGCCCGGGCCGAGGGCCGGAAGACGCGGCGCTGGCGGTCCAGCTGCGCCCGCACCGGCTCGGCGCCCACCAGCCGCTCCTTGTGGCGCTCCAGGCTCTCGGGCTGCGCCAGCGCCGCCTCGCTCAGCACGTAGAACTCCTCGGCGGCCTCTGTGCCAAGGCCACGCGGTGTCAGCGGCTGCGCGGCCGGGCCGGGGCCGGGGCCGGGGCCGGGGCCGGGGCCGGGGCCGGGGCCGGGGCCGGGGTCAGCCCCGCCGCCCGCCCGCCCGCCCGCCCGCGCCGGCCCCGCCAGGCCCCCTCACCCTGGTCCGCGACGGGCAGCAGCACCCGCTGGAACCCGATGGCCTCCAGGAACTCGTGCGTCCCCTCCAGACAGTTGATGCGCTCCTGGGGAGGGGGGCAAGGGTCACACAAAGCCCCACCCCGGCAGACCTGTGCTGAAGTGGGAGCACTGTATACAGAGCCCACTTGCAGTTCCCACCAGCACCTTTACAGCCTGCCGGCCGCGACCACCCAGCGCCGCGGGTGGAGGAGGGGTCTAAAGCCCCAAACGACTGCCGGCGGAGGGCGCCCAAGGTGGGGAGTAGGGTGAGTGGGCCCAGGGGGTGGCATCTGTGACCGGGAGGACCCAAACCCTAGCTTTCCAGAGGAGCCTCGAGTCTGCTAGTTTGAAAAGTGCCTAGCACAGTGTGCCCCAAAGAACTGGATCTTCAGGGTCCCAATCCCGCAGGGCCCTGCCCTGCCTCTGGCCAAGCCCCCACTGCGTGCTGTTGCGGGAGACCAGGTCAGGGCCAAGGGTCAGGGTAGGGCCCACCTGGAACACCTTGTTCTGCAGCTTGATCTTCCGGTACTTCTCCTCCTCAGGGTGCAGGTGGATGTTGTCTAGGTACCTGAGGGGAGGGTGGCCAGCAGCAAGGAGGAGCACCCGCGATCAGGGTGGAGTTTGTGGTCACAGTCACCCCACAGACATGGCAGAGCCCATGCCTACTGGGCAGGAGCCTGAGGCCACTGGGGGGGCCTTGCTCTGGGATACCCGCGAGCCACAGCAGTGGCAGAGTTGACAGCTAGAATGAGGGACCACCAAGCCAGGGGACCACAGCACTGCTGCAGGTCCCAGGGGGTCCATCACCTGGGGTGGTGACCAATGGACAAACTCAAGCCCTCCCCAGAGCTCCGGCTCTGTCTCCATCCCCCAAAGGAAGCAGCAATGTGGACTCCGGCCCAAGCCCCCCGTGTTTTCCACATAAGTGAGGGTGGCCCAGCCCTTCCAAGGCCTGCGTGGTTCACTCACTTGGCAATGGTGTCTACTCCCAGCTTCACCCGGTCACGGTCTCTGTTGAATGTGTGGATCTTCATGATGGAGGCGGCCACGGGGTCTGTGGTGAAGTGCTGGGGGAGAGGAGGGCGTGGTGCACAATGCACAATGCTGCCCACTCCCATGATCCTCTGTAGCCCCAAGCCACCAGCCGTGGCCTAGAGAACTGGAGGTGCTCAGGAGACTAGAGGGGGCAGTAGCCCCACCAGGGCCTGCCCAGCTCTCCCAGAGCTCCTGGAAGGCAGGTACAGGCCTCAATGACTGACATCCTCACATTTCTCCTCAAGGACACAGGGAATCCCGGGCAGCTGCTGGGGTCACACAGATGGCAGACATCTCCAAAGCTCCCAACAGCTAGCTCTCTTGCCTCCTTCAAAGCAGGCAGCAGGGCTGCCAGGGAAAGTGTTGGGACCGGGAGGTGAGCAAACTGTGCACAGGACTGTGGCGTTACTGGGACCAATAGGCAGGGGACAGGCACCCCCCCACACACATCTAGGGAGGAGCCACAATGCCAAAGAGGGACACTGGCACTGCCTCAGCTAAGGGACAAGGGACGAAGGAAGGGCACATGCCGCAGGAAGCCATATCCACAGGGGAAGAAGGCTGGACAGCACAAGCGGGAGCCATGGTGGTTTTCCTTCATTGGAGCTGCATGTGCTCTGGGAGGAAATAAATCAACTCTAAGCTCCACCCATTCAGATAAGACCACGAAGGAGGATATAAGAACGCACTGGTACCACCACACCGGGTGTATGCAGCATGGAGCCCATAAAGGCCTCCAGTCTATCAATCCCAGAAGCACATGTAAGCGCCTATGGGCAAAGCAACAGAGCCAACATGTAAACTGGGGGGAGACAGCTGCAGCCGCACCACAGGCTGCCAAACTGCATTAACACAGAACCAGTAAAAAGAAGAAGCCAGGCACTGCCGTCACGCCTAGGACACCAGCACTCGGGAGAATGTCCTTCTCCTGAGGGGAGGGAAACTTGGCTCAGTGGTAGAATACCAGCCATGAACAAGAAAGCCAAGTGAATGGGAGGCCCTGAGTTCAAGTCCCAGCACTTCCAAAAAAAAAAAAATTTAAATGTCCACTAAGTTCATCAGCAGCAGGTGGGTTAATGAGTTCCAGAATAACTTACAGTGGAGACACAGAGCAGGACAATGGCTCAAAGACACAAAACGCCCTCCAGCCCCCTGGATTGGCCCTGGAAAGCCCAGACTCCTGCCCCTGGGACTGTGGGAGTGTAGGCGTGTTTAGGTCTGCAGCTTATAATCATTTGTTATAACAGCCAGCACAAATTCATATCATGTCTTTAAGTATGAGGCTACCTGCAAATACAGGAGCCACAAGAAGCTGCTCCGGCCAGGTGCCAGGAGCTCACACCTATAAACCTAACTACTTAGGAGGCTGAGATCTGAGGATCATGGTTCCAAGCCAGCCTGGGAAGGAATGTCCGTGAAACTCATCACCACTAAACCACCAGAAAACCACAAGTGGCACTGTGGCTCAAGTGGTAGAGCGCTCACCTTGAGCTGAAGAGCTCAGGGACGGCTCTTCAGCCCCAGGCCCAGAGTTCAAAACCCACAACCAACAACAACAACAACAGAAAAGAAGCTGCACCAGTGGCTCATGTCTGTAGTCCTGGCACCTGGGAAGCTGAGAAGGGAGAGATCAATGCCAGGAGGGTCAATGCCAGCTTGGGCTGAAAAGTTCTTAAGACCCTATCTCAAAAAACTGGAGAGACAGGGCTGCAGGTCTTTTCAAGTGGAGATATGGCTCAAGTGGTAGAATGCCAGATGAGCAAATTCCAGCCCCAATACTGACAAGGACCAAAAGTACTGAGGGAACTCTTTCCATTCCCTGAAGTTAACCCTGCTGAACATGAGCGGCAGGCGACTTTCTAGAGGACAGAGAATGGCAAGGGGACAGACACGGGACACACAGTGAGGCCACACACAGTGTGTCTGAGAAGGACCCAGAGCTCCCAGCATCTTGCGGATGCGGGTGGCAGGAGAAGTGGAGGCAGGCGCTTGGACTCAGGTACGAGGTGACCTCCTTACAGAGGTGGGACACAGCACAGCAGGTAAAACCCCAGCCAGGCTGTGAGCGGCTCTACGCCCAGGAACCCCAGGGCCACTCACCGACATAATGGCCTCTCTGATGCGGGCGTCCCGCTGGTCCCTCCGCAGGGTGGCCCCCGTGAGCGGACAGGTGAAGTACACGCCGTTCACAGCCAGGTGGCCTGAGCCTTCCTCTTTGGTCTCAGGCATCTGGGGGCAAAAGTGTCTGGATCCGACTATGGCCAGAGGTCACCCTGAGCCACAGAACAGAGAGGTTGCTCCTAGGGCCAGATACCCACACCCCAAAAATGCTCTCTTTACTGGGCCACCTAGCGATGACTAAACCTCTCGGGGTTCCTGGTGTGGGAAACATCCCTGCTCAAGGATGAGAGAGGGCAGAAGCCAGAGCAGACTCCTGGGGGGAGAGCTTGGGGTGTTCCTATGTCTGGACAGAGCTTGGGGTACCGCCCCCCTAAAGAGGAGTTTGAGTTGGGGTCCGGCACCCACCCACGGGCTGCAGAATCCCTAGCTCTCTGCACTTTAAGCCCTGGACATGGCTAGGGATCTTGCCTTCTAGGAATCATTGAGACCTGGGGCTCTGCTGCCTGGGACACCTTTGGGCCAAGTTCTCCTGAGGGCTGAGCCTGACCCCTTCCCCCCCCCCCCCCCCCCCCCCCGCAGCTGTACCTTCTCCATGGGGGGTGCAGGGGGGTGCAGGGGAGGCTGCTTCTAACACTGTTAGTTACCGACTTGGTCCCAGGAGCATCCGGGCTGCTGCTGCTGGTTGCCTCGGCTTGCAGCTCCTTTCTCACTGGGAGGGCAGAGGGAAAGGCGGGGGGGAAGAGCCAAGACCCCTGCCCAGGGCCCCAAGACCCTCCCCTCCCACACTTCCCCAGCAAGTCCAGTCCTGGACTCCACCAAATGCCTCATCCTTTCCACAAGGGAGTGTCCCACTACCCTGCCCCTAGGGCCCAAGTGTCCCGTGGGTGCTTCCCAAGAGTTACATAATCATGTCCCTGCTTACCCTGATTCCTGATGGAGTCCTGTGACGTAGGACCCCGGGACCTGGGCTGCTTCTGCTCCAGCCGCGCCAGGGCTGCTGCAGCCGCCATCTGTGCCTCATCTGTGGGTCCCTGGCGGGGCTGCCGGAGGGCTGACTGCTGGGACTTTTCTTTGGGGGCCTTCTCTCTGGGCAGAGATGGGGGGCGGGGTTTGAGGCTGACACAGGGTCCAATGGAAGAACATCGGCTACTGGTCCCATCAGACAACCCTGTCCTGGCCTGCATAGGGTTCGGGGCTTCCCAGGGCCCCCACGTGGGGTAACAGGGGAAGCTGCTTCAACTCTGCCCCTTTGGGGGCCTTGGCCAGGTCCTGGCATCTCCAAGTGCCAACAAGACCAGCACATTCCTGCACCAAGGTTTCCTGATGTCCCAGGAATGCAGAAGACTTGCTATGGTGACATGACCCTGCCTCCTACCCTTCTTCCAGTGCCTGGCCACGCTGTGGGGAGGGGGGTCCACTGCAGCTGAGCCCAGGGGGCTCCCAACAACGTTTCCCTCCGTGGCACCTGGCTCGCAACCTTACCTACCTTACCCTGGCTGCTTTGGTCCTCGCTAGGCATCTCTCAGCCCACTAAGATCACTCCCACAGTATGGAGGGAGCTGGCGGTGAGGTATCCACCAATACACCAATACACAAGGCCTTCTTTTGCCCTCAATGACCCCCACTCCCACCCCCAAGTCCAACTGTTCAAGCCACACACACTCTAGGTCCACAGACCCTCCACAAGATGGTAGCTAGGTTCTCATTAAGAACCCTCATTCCCCTTCCTCACCCCTTCTCTCTGGGTAGAACAGATGATGCATGCATCACCCCCTCATGATTCATCTCCCCCTCCCTCCCCTGCATCCCTACCTTCTCCACCTCTGCCCCACCCAGTATGTTTCTAGTGGGACAAAGCAAAAACCCAAAGTCACTTCACTGTCTGCACTGGGCTCCCACAGGTTTCTACATGCCAAGCAAGTGGGTCCCCAGAGAAGTCCCCAGAATGTTCCGTCTGGGACAGGGTGAGGACAGGGGATCTGGGAAGGGTTCTACAGGGAGAGATGAAGAGGCTGATTCAACAGTGCCAGCTCAAGCATCACCTCAGAGACAGTATGATACCCACCTCCTTGGTGGATCAGTCATCTGCACCCTCAGGAGGGCACACCCTAATGCACTGGGCCCCCGGCAGCCCTTGCTGAGACCTGAGGCAGGAGGCCTACCTGTCCTGCCCTCCAAGGCTGCAGGCTTGTTCCTGGACCATTCCTCAATTCCTTCTCCTTCCTAGGCTCCTGGTCCAAGGTAACCATCAGCTCCCATGTCCCTCTGTCATATACAAGCCCTGCTGACCCACCTCTTTCCCCAGCCACCCCCTCAAGTGGGGAGGGACCTGGATGAACGTCCCTCCTTCCCAGTCCTGCCAGCCTCCCTCCTTAATTTCCCATTACTCCTGCAAACCTTGTCCTTGGCTACAGGCTGTCCTTGGTCCCCACCATCCTTCTGTCTCTACAAGGACCCTAGCCTCCCCAAGCTCTGTTCTGTCATCCATCCACCAGCCTAAGGGCTGTCACAGAACCCTGATGCCACAATCCCCCCCCCTCCATGCCCAGACCTCCCTGTGTCCCATCCCAGGCTCCCAGACTTCTCAGGCCTTACAGTGTCTCCCCCGCCCCCCCTCCCCAATCCCTCCATACAGCAGGCTTTAGCTCCTCAACCGGCCCTCCAGAACCAGAGCCCAGATCTGTGTTTCCACAGATGCCAAATCTCACATAAAACTCCAGGACCTCTTGGACTTGTCAGCTTCAAATCGCTGGTCACCAAGATAGCCCCAGACCGTGTGGGCTGCTATAGGGGCGCAAGTCCCACGATCGTCCAGGCCTCTCCCTTACCACCCACTTCTAAGGGATCCCACTGACCTCCTGCAACTCCAGCCCCCAAGACCCTCCACCAAGCTCCACACCATCCTCCTGGGACTCACTGGAGTCCAACCCTCCGGCCTGGCCCCCCCCCCCCGCCCCCCACAGCCGTCCCCATTCCCACTTCCAGGCTCCACCCCCCGCCCCGCCCCCGGACTCTCCACACTCCCGAGTTCCGCCCCAGACCCTCCCCCGGGTCCGTCCCCGCCCCGTCCCCCCGGCTCCCCTCCGAGCTCCCCCACACGCCCCGCCCCGATTCCCGCCCCCGGGGCCTACTTGGCGGGGTCCCGCCGCCGCCCGCCCAGGCCGCCCCGCCCCGGCCGCCGCCCAGGCGCTCCGGCGCTCCGACGCTCTCGCGTGCGACCCGCCCCGGGCGGCCGCGGAACTCTCACGCACCCCACGTTGTCTGTGAGTTTCTGACCGGGCCCTGCGCTCTTGAACTTGATGTCAGCTTTAATCTCCTGGAAGAACTTCTTCATGGTGGCGGCAGCCCGGCGTCGGGGGGCCGCGGGCGGAGGGGGGGGCCCGCGGGGGGAGGGGGGCGCGCGGCCCAACCGGGGAGGAGCCGGCCAGGCCCCCAACCGGAAAAAAAAGACGAGAAAAGAGCGCCCCGCCGGAAGTCCCGCCTTCGCGCGGCCGGGCACGTGACAATCGGCCCGACGCGCCGCTCTAGCACGCCGCAGCTCGCTGGTGAGGAGCGACCGCTCTGCACGTTGGGGACGCGTCTCGATGGTGCTTCCGGACTCCGTTGCCAAGGCGACAAGGGCGCTTGCAGTTTGAAGGCCTGGCCTGGCGTTCTTGGAGGAGCACAGGCGACGGGAGGGTTGGCCACAGGTCTAAAGGACCCGCATGGAGGAAGCCCTGGGCCTGGCCTTTGCCCTGCTCGAGAGCCTTCCCCGGCTCTCCAACGCTTATGTAAAAAAATCCCCGCAGCCCCCCAGGCCATGAGGTGGGAGACATTCTGGTGTTGCATGGAGCTGGGGACCATTTGGACAGTCAAGATGCAGAGAAAGCAGGCCACAGGGGCAAGTGTACTGAGATGTACAGACATTTGGAGGGAGACTAGCAGATACTGGGGAGCAGGAGATTCCACACACACACCACGGCAGCAACCTGCTCCAACCCTGGAGAAGAATATCCTGGGCTTTCTCTAGGAAATGCAAAGGACCAGTGAGGATGCGGGGGAGGAGGGAGGGGGTGGGGCCGGAATCTGACCCTAGGAGGCTTCGACAGTGACCTCACACCTGGAATCCTAGCTATTCAGGAGGCTGAGATCTGAGGATTGTGGTTTGAAGCCAACCAGGGCAGAAAAGTCTCTTGAGACTCTTCTCTCCAATTAATCAGAAAAGAAAAGACCAAAAGTAAAGGTGTGACTCAAATAGCTTTGAGTGCAAAAACTAAGGGAGGGCAACTAGGCCCTGAGTTCAAGTCCTAGTATTGACAAAATAAAAATTTAAATATTGGGCTGGGAAGGTGGCTCAGTGGTAGAGTGCTTGCCTAGTATGAATGAAGCCCTGGGTTTGATTCCTTACTACCACAGAAACAGAAAAGGCCAGAAGTAGCACTGTGGCTCAAGTGGTAGAGTGCTAGCCTTGAGTACAAGAAGCTCAGGGACTATGCCCAGGCCCTGGACTGGCCAAAAAAACATCTCTTGGGCAGGGCTGGGAAGGTTGCTCAGTGGTAGAGTGCTTGCCTTGCATATATAAGGTCCTGAGTTTGATTGCTCAGCACCATATAAACAGAAAAAGCTGGAAGTGGGGCCATGGCTCAAGTGGTAGAGTGCTAGCCTGGAGCTGAAGAGCTGAGGGACAGCACCCAGACCCAGAGTTCAAGCACCACCACCAACAACAACAAAAAAAATCTCATAGCCTTTCCTGCCCAAGCTGGATTTGAACAGCCATCTTCAGATTACAGCCTCTTGAGTAGCTAGGAAACACCAGTTCCTGGCTTGGTAGTGGGGTTTGAATTCAGGACTTCAACTTGCTAAACCGGCGTTCTACTATCTGACCCATGGATCAAATCCATTTTGCTCTGGATTTTGTTGGTCAGGGAGCTTGAAACAGGGTCTGGGTGCTCCCTGTCTCTGAGCTTTTTTGCTTTTTTGTTTTTGTTAATTCTGGGGCTTGAACTCTGGGCCTGAGTGCTGTCCCTGAACTCTTTAGCTCAAGGCAAACACTCTACCACTTGAGCCACAGTACTACTTGCGATTTTCTGGTGGTTAATTTGAGATAAGAGTCTCATGAACTTTCCTGCCCAGGCTGGCTTTGAACTATGATGCTCAGATCTTAGTCTCTTCAGTAGCTAGGATTACAGGCATGAGCCACCAGCACCTAACTCTCTGAGCTCTTTTGCTGAAGGCTAGCCCTCTACCACTTTGGGCCACAGACCACTTCCAGATTGTTAGTGGTTCCTTGGACATAAAAGTCTCACTCTCTTGGGGACTTTTCTGCCATGGCTGGCTTCCAACTGTGATTTTCAGATTTCATCCTCCTAAGTAGGATTATAAAGAGCCACCAGCTTTCAGCTTGCTCTGGTTATTTATTTATTTTGCCAGTCCTAGGGCTTGAACTCAGGGGCTGGGCACTGTCCCTGAGCTTCTTGTGCTCAAGGCTAACACTCTACCACTTGAGCCACAGCTGCTACTTCTGGCTTTTTCTGTTTATGTGGTACTGAAGAATTGAACCCAGGGTTTCATGCATGCTAGGCATTGCTCTGGTTATTTTTCTTTTATTTTTTCGGTTGTGGGTCTTGAACTCTGGGCCTGGGCGCTGTCCCTCAGCTCTTCAACTCAAGGCTAGCACTCCACCACTTGAGCCACAATGCCACTTCCAGTTTTCTGGTGGTTAATTGTAGAGTGTCACAGACTTTCCTGCCAGGGCTGGCTTTGAACTGCGATCCTTAGATCTCAGCCTCCTGAGTAGCTAGGACTACAGATATGGACCACCAGTGCCCAGCTGCTCTGGTTATTTTTCTTTTTTTTTTTTTTCCCAGAGCTGAGGATCAAACTCAGGGCCTTGTACTCACCAGGAAGGCTCTCTTCTGCTGAGCTAAACCCCCAGCCTCTAGCTCTGGTTATTTTTGAGAGAGAGTTTCTGTTTTTTCTAAGACCAACCTGGATCATGATGCTTATTTTTTTGTTTTCGTCCGTCCTAGGGCTTGAACTTGGGGCCTGGGCTCTGTCCCTGAGTTTTTGTTTTTGTTTTTTTAAGCTCAACTCTAGTGCTCTACCACTTGAACTACAGCTCCAGTTCTAGCTTTTTAGTTGCTAATTGGATATCAGAGTCTCATGGATTTTCCCGCTCAGCCTGGCTTCAAACCATAATCCTCAGCTCTTAGCCTCTTGAATAGTTTGGATTACAGGTGTGAGCCACCAGCGCTCAGTTTGATCCTCCTATTTATATTACCTATGTAGTTGGCTGGGGTGGCATGTACACAACATCACAGCTAGCTTTTTCTGTTGTATTTAGATCTCTTGAATATTTTGTCAAGGCTAACTTGGATCTGCATTCCTCCTGATGTCAGTCTCTCCTGTAGCTGTAATGACAGACCTAATCGATTACACCCAGCTATTGGTTGAGATCGGGGCTGGGGGCAGGGAGAATCTCATGAACTTTTTCTCTCCCCAGGCTGGTCTGAATAGGTTACAGGAGATTTTACACTTCTGGGTTTAATAGTAAGGTCCAGCCCTTCACCCTGACACATTAAATAAAAGATGATGAATTGAATAAACATGAAGGGCAGAAAAAACAATTTTAGGGGCTGGGAATGTAGCTCAGTGGTAGAGCGCTTGCCTTGCATGCATGAGGCCCTGGGTTTGATTCCTCAGCACCACATAAGCAAAAAGAAAAAAGCCAGAATTGGTGCTTTGGCTCAGCACTAGCCTTGAGCTGAAGAGCTGTGGGACAGCGCCCAGGCCTAGAGTTCAGGCCCCACAACCAGACCCAAAAAAAATTTTATACTTCATAGGCAGCTGCAAAGAAGAAGTACTTCCACAAAACAAAACAAAACAAAAAAAAACAACTTTGCTGTGGCTTGTGATGGAACAGAGAACAGAATAAGAGGTTTGAATGATGAATAGTTCCGGTCACAGGTGTGTTCTGAAAGCAGAGGTGGGAAAAGCAGTCACAGGTGGTCTACCAATACAACATCTCAGTCATTAACACCTGGCAAATGATCCGGCCTCCCATTTGCTTCCTCCTAGCTTCCAAGACAGCTGTAAAGTGGACTGTCAGAGACAGTGGCTCAGGGCACAAGATTCAAAAGTATAATAGAGCCTGGGAGGCCAAGTTTTTTCTAGCTTTTAATTAATTCATGGATCCAAGCCAAGGAGTTAGAGCTCCTCAGCAAAAGTAACCTCTAAGCACTTTTTACAGAACTATGATCCTCTTCATAATCATCTGAGTAGCTAAGGTATCGTGTATGAACCATGGGGTTTAGCCTACCTATAAGGGCTATCTTAGCATCTTGGGAACAGCTACCTTTTCCCTGTGTCCTTATATGGCAGAGCATGCTCTGGTGTCTCTGCTTCTAAGAGAAATATTGCAAGGGGTTCTGCTCTCCACATGATTACCATCACCATCATTTGACCTTAAATCTTTTTGGAGCTTGGGTGCTGGTTGCTCATGCTTGTAATCCTAGCTACTTAGCTGGTTGAGATGTAAGGAACACAGTTCAAAGGTAGTCCAGACAGACAAATCACAGAGACTTTATTTCTCTAATTGACTGGAAAGAAGCTAGGCTAAAGCCTGGCTCAAGTAGTAAAGTGGCAGTCTTGAGTATAAAAGTCAAGCAAAAGGCTGGACCTATAAATCCTAACTAGAAGCTGAGATCTGGTTTGAAGTCAGCCCAAGCAAGAAAGTCCATGAGACTCTTATCTGCAATTAACCACCAAGAAACAAAGTGGAAGTAGAGCTATGGCTCAAGTGCTCCAGAGCTCAAGAGCTTTGAGCTAGCAGCACCCTGATTTCAAACCCCTAGGCTGGCACCAAAAAATACAAAAAAGAACCTTATCCCCAAGTACAATTAAGTGGGGTTTCACTTACATGTTCAACGTAAGACTTCAAGGGTGGACATAAAGAATTGCATAGCACCTAGAATGGAATTTCTGGGTTATATGGTGAGACTGTGTTTAACTTTTTTTTTTTTTGGGGGGGGGGGAATCTGGTCCTGGGCCTGAACTCTGGGCCTGGGCGCTGTCCCTCAGCTCTTCAGCTCAAGGCTATTGCTCTACCACTTGAGCCACAGCGCCACTCCTGGCTTTTTTTTTTCTGCTTATGTGGTGATGAGGAATCGAACCCAAGGCCTCAATATGCAAGGCAAGCACTCTACCACTGAGCCACTTTCCCAGCCCTGTGTTTAACTTTTTTGTGGGTGCTGGTGCTGGGATGGAACCCAGGGCCTGATGCATGCTAGGCCATGCTCTACCACTGAACTGCACACCAGCCTCAGCAAAGTCAAACTAGAAGCTAAACTTCCATGCTCATGCCTGCAGGTCATGAGTACCATTCTCCACTCAGTCATCCAGTTTGCATTTTGTCTCCTGTCTCCCTCACCTTCCCAATGCTTTTGTTGCCATATTGTCCAATTCTTTGTTTTGTTTTGTACCATTCCTGGGGCTTGAATTCAGGGCATTAGCCTTGTCCTTTAGCTTTTTGTGCTCATAGCTAGCATTTTAACAACTTGAGCCACAACTCTACTTCTGGCTATTTTAGTGGTTGAAATGAGGCTTACAGACTTTGTTGCTTGGGCTGGCTTCAAACAATGATTCTCAGATCTTAGCTCCCTGAGTAGCTAGGAATACAAGTGTGAGCGACTGGCACCTGACCAGATTGTCCATTTCTAATGGTGCAATTCTCATGTTAGAAAGTCCTCAGAGATGGGCTGGGAAGGTGGCTCAGTGGTAGAGTGTTTGCCTTGCATGCATGAGGCCCTGGGTTCAATTCCTCAGCACCACATAAGAAAAAAGAAAAAAGCCGGAAGTGGCGCTGTAGGTCAAATGGTAGAACGCTAGCTTTAAGCTGAAGAACTGAGGGACAGTGCCCAGGCCCAGAGTTCAAGCTCCACAACCGGGCCCAAAACAAAAAAAAAAAAAAAAAAAGTCCTCAGAGGTCCCTCAGGAGAGTAAGCTGTCTCTCAGGCCTGGCCTCTGTCCCTGAGCTTTTATTTTTATTGCTCAAGGCTAGCGCTCTACCACTTTGAGACACAGCACAACTTCCAGTTTTCTGGTGGTTCATTGGAGGTAAGAGTCTCATGGACTTTCCTTCCTGCCAGGGCTGGCTTCAAACCATGGTTCTCAGATCTCAGCCTGCTGAATAGGATTATAGTCCTGAGCCAGCAGCACCTGACTCATAATATGCATATTAACAATATAATCAGTATATATAATATGTACCTCATACATATATGTATATTGGATATTATGACCTAAAGTATTACAGTACACTAACTTAGATGTTATGCATATAGACACCCATGTGTAATGTATGTTAACATGTGTGGCACGCATTTTCCTGTGGTCCCAGACCATAGTAGGTGCTTAATCACATTTTATAACTCCTAGAATAAGCCTGCTCAGCCTGGCATTGGCTCCTCCCTATTTAAGTTGAGCCTCTTTATCTTAGCCAATGGAAGACTGGCTACTAAGCCCCACCTCCTGTAATAGCCAATAGCCTACTTCCCTGCATTTAGTCCCGCCTTCAGTTGGTAACCTGCCTCCTCCGATGATTGGGCCTTTGTTCCGGTGATATCCAATGGTCAACCTCCTATTTCAAGCATAGGGAGGCCTCGGTTCCGCCCCTCTGGAGAGCCACGCCCCGTCACCCCTTTAGCGCCTTCGTTTCCCTCCACACACCTTTCCCCTTTCACCTCCTGTAGTATCCGCCCCCTTCCATTAGGTCTCTAGGTCACGCCCTTTTGGTCGGCCCGTTATCCAATCCCGTTAGCTAGCTCCGTTCCAGCTCCTCTTCTCATTGGTCTGCACGCTTCTCCGTCCCCGCACGTGGTCTTGAGCGACAGCGTTGCCGGCCCGTGATGGTGAGGGGGCGGGACTTCCTGTGACTCCGAGCCCAATAAGTACGCGCCGGCCGGCTGCCTGGGAGGACGCCTCCGCCCCTCTGGCGTCCGTTTCCCGCCCCCGACTTCGTCTCCCGCTGCTGCCGCTGCTCCGGCCACGGCCGCCGCCGCCGCCACCGCCGCCGCCGCCGCCACCGCCGCCGCCGCCGTCCGCCGCGGCCTGGGCATCCCGCCGCCAGCATGCCGCACGCCTTCAAGCCCGGGGACTTGGTGTTCGCCAAGATGAAGGGCTACCCGCACTGGCCAGCCCGGGTGAGGCCGCGCGGCGATGGGCCAGCGGGGGGTGCGGCGAGGGCCGGGGCGCGGGGCGGCCGGGGGGCGCGGGGCGGCCGGGGGGCGCGGCGCGGGCCGGCGGGGGGCCCTCGGCGCCCCAGGCCTGAGGAGGGCGCCCCCGGGGTGTAGGAAGCGTTCCCGACCGGAGGCATCCGTCGCTGGAGTCCGCAGGGCCGGGGGCTCCGGTTTCTGAGGAAGCCGCGCCCTGGGCGTGGAGTTGGGTCTTGCGGGGCCGGGGGGTGGGGGAGAGGGGTGATTTGAGGGTCCTGGCGCCGAGAAACCAACGCCCCGGTGGTGGCCAGGGGTCGAGCCCCTTCCCTTCCCCCCACCCCCGTCAGGGGGTCCCTGAGAGGCTTCAAGGTGGGGTTAAGTTTGGGGCGGGGCTATCATGGGGTCGGGGGGCAAGGGGGAAGGCTGAGTAAGTTGGGCCAGGTCCGACTGGAGAAGGTCCATGGGCCGCCTGGACTCCTGAGCAGAAGTTGTGAGTGGCATTGGGGCCCTGCCAGCTCCTGGAGGAGAGTTGCAGAAATGGGGAAAAGGGGTGAGGGTCAAGGCCAAGGGGCCGAGGGAGGCCAAAGGTGAAGGAATCAGGACAGCTGATGTTGGGGGGGTGGAGCCTTTAAGGAAGGGCAGAGACCCAAGAACTTGGGGTTCCACTTTTGGAGGAATTGGGGAATCCTGGGTACACTAGGCCCCAGAGGCCCTTGTCACCCCTAGGGTTAGGGCCCGGGTCGTTTCTGGAATGGTAAGATAGAAGCCCCGGCTTCGGATAGCAGAGTAGGGGAACTGACCTCCCAGGGTCAGTGGTGGCCCTCAACATGGGAGAGGAGAAGCTCCAGAAGCCAGAAAGACAGGTCCTCAGCTTGCCTGCGTTTAGCATCCTTCAGAGACAGGGTGCTAGCTAACTGAGGGAACCTAGGAGAGTGAGGGTGGCAGAGAAGGTTCCAGCAGCCCTAGTCCTTCAGAGTTGGAGAGATGGATGGGGAGGCATTATTTGGGATGAGAAAACCCACTGTAAGTTGATTTGTCTGCGCTGGTTTTTCTGGAGGAGATGGGAGCAATGAAACTTTATCAGCACTTCCCTCCTTTGCCCAGTTCTCTTCTTTCCAGAGCACTAGCTTTTCCTCCTTGCCCCACCCCCCTCCTCCAGCTAGAAAGCCCGGAATATTTCCAAGCACCTGATTGGAAGTGAAGGGGCTGCTAACCTCCTGTGAGGATGTGACTGACAGCTGCTGGAGCCCATGAGCCTGCAGGGAGAGGGTGGGACTTCCTGGATGCTCTCAGGGCCTGTCTCCTGCAGCCCACCCCCCACTCTCTGCATCCTTGGAGCTCACAGCTGCATCTTCTGAGAGACAGCTGCTTGGGCTTTCTGCAGGAGCCGGGGTCCCTGTCAGGTCTTGAGAGTTCATAGACACTAAGCTTGGCTCCCCTCCCTCTGGTTGCTTTAGGAGTCCATATTTAGCTGTGCTCAGGTGAAGCACCTGTCTTAGGGCAGCTTTCTTCCCTCTTCCCAGGGAGAGGAATCACTCTGGGTGGGGGACAGGCTTGCAATGGAGGTACACTGGAGAATGCACATTCCTACTTGCAAGGAGATGTGTCTGCTGGGTTGAAAGCACCCCCACCCCCAACCATGCTTTTTCCTAAGTAACTTGGTGGCTGTCTTGGTGATTTCCTGGGTCAGAGTGTGCAGGTGGGCCTCCTGGCCTTCACCCTAAGCCTCTCCTAACTGGCCTCCCCTACAGATCGATGATATTGCCGATGGCGCCGTGAAACCTCCACCCAACAAATACCCCATCTTCTTCTTTGGTACACACGAAACGTAAGTGTCCCTAGATGGGTCCTGGTATCCCCTGTCCTCATTCTCTCCCCCCACCAGCCCCCAGTACCTCTACGTGGCCAGTTTACCTTTAGCTGGCCCATGGTTCCATTCTCCAGAGCCTTTCTGGGACCGAAGGACTTGTTTCCCTACGACAAATGTAAAGACAAATACGGCAAGCCCAACAAGAGGAAAGGTTTCAATGAAGGACTGTGGGAAATCCAGAACAATCCACACGCCAGTTACAGCGCTCCACCGGTGAGTAACTTGGGGTGGGAAGTGTCCAGCTCCGGGGGAGTCTGCAAAGGACACTTCCTCCTAGTGGGGCTACAGGTGGGCTTTTTCTTGTCCCACGGGAGAAGAGAAGCTTCTGGACCAGGTTCTCTGCTTCAGCCTGGCTCGATCACACTCTGTGAGGGCAGAACAGCATCCCCAGCTTCTACCCAGTCCATGCCAGGGGCTTCCCCATTGCCACCGCCAAGGGTCCCAGGATGTGTGGTCTGGGGCTGGTTGAGGGGGGCACAGGGTTTCAGAATCTATCCTGGTAAAGACCACTGTTCCCAGGTCGCAGAAAAAAAGTGTTCTCTGTGTTCTAAGACAGGTGTGGGGTGAGCACATGCTTCTAGCATGCTTCTCAAGGCCTGCGGTCCTTGGCCTGTGTTAGTAATTTTCTGTAGGCCACGGATGATGTGATAAATATCCAAATGGCCCTTGGGCAGAGAAAAGGGGCCCCACCCTCGTAAAGGCAAACCGTATTTTTTGTCAGTGACATACTCCTCTGACCTTTTTTGCCTAATATCGGGCCCAGGAGAGTCGGAGGTCGGATGTAGAGAGAGGATTCCTGGTTGGTGGGAAGAATGACAACAGAGCCGTAGTGATGAAGACAACTCGGGCAAGCTGGTGTCTGGGGGAAGGAATTTAGAAAAGTACAGTTCAACTCCACAGAAGGCTGTGGAGGACTTGGGGTACCCTGCTGGTAGTGGGGAGAATGGTGTGGAGATAGTCAAGGCCTGCCTGCCTTCCCCTCGTGGTTCCTGGCACTTAAGAGTGTCACCCCAGGACCTGTGGATGGTTCTGTGTTCCCATTGCTGTGTATTGCTAGACACATGGCTATGCTAGACACATGGAGGGAAGAATGGTCAGGCCTAGCCCCTGCCTTCCAAGATCACTGTCCAACATGTGGAGTTCACTCAACACATCTCTTGACATTCCCATCTTGAGAGTTATAGCTTACTTTATTACCCCAGATGAGGCCGGGAAACAGGGTCCCTGTTTGAAACCCATCCTGGCTGAGTGGAGCAGAAAGTTTTCAAGGCAGTGAGTTCCATGAGTTTTTCTGTGGCACCCGTTCAAGTTCCTTTTGGTTACGTCCTGAGCTTATTACCTCCTGGTGAATCATCTCCCCATTTAATATTTATTGGACACCCACAGCTTGCTAAGTACGGTGTAGATGCCTGCTCTCAAGGAAAGGGAACTCAAAAATAGTACTCGAGAAACCGAAGGAGCTACCACTGAACCCCAAAGTTGCAAATTAGCCTCAGGTATCTAACCCGGATGTACTTCTAAATACAATATGGGTGTTAAACGCAGCCTCTTGGGCCAACCCCTCCAATGGTAGAGGGCCAAGACGTTGGGGCCCTGCAGTTCTTATGCATGGTCCCAGAGACCTTGCATTGTTCTGTGTATAGGTGGGCCTTTGGAAGCTTGGATTTATGGGAAACTGAGTTGTTTTCTTCTTTATGCACACTTAGAAAATTCAGTAGGTACATGGGTGTTTCCAGTGACAAGGCAATCTTGCCTCTGGCCAGTTTCTATCTACCCTCACAAGATCCCCCACTGTTACAAACGCACATTCTCTCTTTTCTTTTTTTTTTTTTTTGTCGGTCATGGGGCTTGAACTCTGGGCCTGGGCGCTGTCCCTCAGCTCTTCAGCTCAAGGCGAGCGCTCTACCACTTGAGCTACAGCGCCACTTCTGGTTTTCTAGTGGCTTATTGGAGATAGGAGTCTCACAGTCTTTCCTGCCTGGGCTGGCTTTGAACCGCGATTCTCAGATCTCAGCCTCCTGAGTAGCTAGGATTACAGGCGTGAGCCACCGGCGCACATTCTCTCTTTAAGTATATAATTCTGAGCATTGCGTTATAACTATTTAAATATATAAATTTATATGTATATGTCATATATGCTCACACATACTCTATTTACTTTTGATGGTGCTGGGCATTGAACTCAGGACCTTGCAGTTGTTTGGCTGATGCTCTACCATTGGAACCATGTCTTTGGACCTGTTTTTGCTGGTTACTTTTGAGCTAGGTTCTTGTGGGTTTTTCTGACTGGGCTAGCCTTGAACCTTGATCTTCCTGCTCAGCTCAGCTTTCTAAGTATCTAGGGTTATAGGCATGAGCCATGTGCCCATGAGCACTGGTACCAGTCTCATTTTGGCTTTGATTATTTGTGTTTTTGTTGTTGTTACTGGTCTGGGAGTTTGAACTTGGGACGTTGAGCTTGAGAAATGTTTTTTTTTTTTTTCATTATTTTTTCAGATGTTGGTATCTTTTATCTAGGCCAGTGTAGACTGCAGTCCCTTGCAGGATATCCCATGTAGCTCTGTGCCTACTTTTTGTTGTTGTTGTTATTTGTTTGGTTTTGCTTTTCTTGGTCATGGAGCTTGAACTCTGGTCCTGGGTGTTGTCCCTGAGCTCTTCAAGAGCTCAAGGCAAGTGCTCTACCACTTGAGACTCACGGACCTTCCTGCCTGGGCTGGCTTTGAACCATGATCCTCAGATCTCAGCCTCCTGAGTAGCTAGCATTACAGGAGTGAGCCACTGGCGGCTGGCTGAGATGAGGTCTTGCACACTTTGGCTACTCAGCCTCCTGAGTAGCTACCACGTCTAGCTATTTTTCTATTAACTCAGAGTCTTGCTGTGCAGTCCTGGCTAGCCAGGGACCCATCATGTAGCCCAGCAGACTTGAAACTTATAGTCCTTCTACCTCGGCCTCCCAAGTGCTGCATTACAGTTGTGCACCACCATGCTTGGTCTGGCTCAACAGGTCATGAGAGAGTCTGACCTGGAGGTGCTGGGATTTGAACTCAGGGCTTCATACTAGTCCCAAAGTGCAGTGGAGGGCCTATTCTCATGTCCTCATCCTGACAAGAGCTCAAGATGGTGTCCTGGTGTGCCTTCAGATGGCCCAGAGGCCTAGTGTCTGCTTGTATGCCCAGAGGGGCCAGGCTTGTCTCTGAGGTGCCTCAGCCAGACCGGGCTTCCCAGGGTTGGTGTAATTAATGGCAGTGTAACTGTGTTGGGCCTCAGGTAGGGCCCAATTTTTTCTGTAGCTGGGCCCTGGGCACTGGAGGGGGCTGGGATGCACCCCTGGCCTCAAAACAGCCTGCCTGGTGTCTGCCTACCCCAGCACAATCTCCACTACCAAAATGTACGTACACATTACCAAATGCACCCTGTGGACACAATTACTCGTGACCTAGAATAACCTATTGGTAAGTTCTTGTTACTTACAAGAAGCAAAGGGACCTGTCCAAGGTTTCTTCTTTTTGTTTTTGTTTTTTTGGTATGTGTGTGTGCTGGTCCTGGAGCTTCTGAACTCTTGTGTCTGGGTTCTGTCCTTGAGTTTTTTCACTCAGGGCTGTTGCTGTACCACTTGAGCCACAGCTCCATTTCTGGTATTTTACTGGTTAACTAGAGATAAGAGTCTCATGGGCTTTCCTGCCCAGGCTGGCTTTGAACCATGGTTTTCAGATCTTAGCCTTGGGAGTAGGATTACAGGCATGAGCCACTCCAACCAGCTGAAAGGTTTCTTTTTCCTTTGTTGCCTTTTATTTCCACCCCCTTTGAGATAGGATCTCACTATGCTGCTTTGGAGCTGGAGGTGGGGGGATTGGGAGGTAGCGTTTGTGGGGGTTGTGCATGTGCGCATGCCTGTGTACACTAGTTCGTCAGCTCTGGGTCTTGAACTCAGATCCTAGGCACTATCTCAGAACTTATTTTGCTAAGGCTGGTGCTCTACTTGAACCACAGCTCCTACTTCTGGCTTTTTGGTGATTAATTAGAGATAAGAGTCTCACAGACTTTCCTGGGTGAGCTGGCTTTAAACTGCAGTCCTCAGATCTTAGCCTCCTAAGTAGCTGGGATTACAGACGTGAGCCACCAGCTCCAGGCTCTGCTTTGGATCCCTTAATCATCCTGGCTTACTGTCCTGAGTGCTGGAATCCCAGGTTTGCTTCACCACACCTGGCTTCTGTTTAAGGTTCTTAAGTCTGTGCTGGGATCCCAGGTTTGCTTCACCACACCTGGCTTCTGTTTAAGGTTCTTAAGTCTGTGCTGGGATCCCAGGTTTGCTTCACCACACCTGGCTTCTGTTTAAGGTTCTTAAGTCTGTGGGCAGTAGGGCTGGGCTTGGGACCAGAGCTCAGGGCTCTGGATGCCTAGGCCCGCATTCTCTTGAGTGGTACCAGCCGCTAGCAGGATGGTGAAGGGGCACTTGGGACACTGGACCCAGGTTCGAGTCGTGGCTCTGTAGCCCTTGCAGATCATGCCCCTTGTGTTCATGGTAGCAGCCACTGTCCCATTCTGTGGGGGGCACGGTGAGATGGCGGGCAGGGTGACAGAGCTGTGGAGGCACAGAGAGGTTTATCTGGGCAGGAGCTGGGCAGGAGTAGGGAAGGACTGTTCATCAGAAGCTGTGGCTGGCGCCAGGCTTCCAGGCTAGTCCTTACTCTGCCTCGGATTCTGTGCTCTTTCTTTCATTCACTTATGCATGTATGTATTTAATAACCTACCTTCTGGGGCAAGGTCTTGTCATGTGGCCCAGGCTGGCCTGCGACACTCGCCCTTCAGCCTCCCCAGTGCTGGTGTGTATGGCGGCGCCTGGTTCCAGGCTCCTGAGCTGTTACTTAGATTCTTTCCCCCTTTCCCCATGTGAGTATCCTCACCTGCAGAATTCAAGTGATCATCTGAGCTGTTACACATTGCAATGACCAGCTTGGTGGCACTTAGGACCAGGACACTGGCCTGTGCCTCCTACAGGGGACCCTTGGCCTAGCCGTTTAGTTGCTACGTGTCCCCTCCCCTACCCACCCCCACCTCATCCCCCACCCCTGCTGTGGCTCCCTGCTGGGGAGGGAAGTAGGAGAAAAAAATCCTAAATCTTGTCGTCTCTCCTGACGTTTTCTCTTTGGGCCTTGACCTACTTAAGTATCATCCTTTTTAATCTTGTCAGAAATTGTACAGGCAAGGCCCTGACGTGGCCTGGGCCACGCAGGGAGAGGATTTCGTTCAGTGCTGTGCCACCAGCTCCCTTCAGCACCTGCTTCTCATTTCCCTTGTCTGTTGAGAATGAACCTGCTCCGTGTGGAGGCCGCTGTGGTGCCAGCCACTCCCATCAATGGAAGAGAAGAACTTTAGAAAAGAGGGAGCCAGGGCTGGGAAGGTGGCTCAGTGGTAGAGTGCTTGCCTCGCATGCATGAAGCCCTGGGGCTTCCATTCCTCAGTACCACATACACAGAAGAAGAGGGAAGTAGAGCTGTGGTTCAAGTGGTAGAGTGCTAGCCTTGAGCAAAAGAATGCCCAGGCCCTGAGTTCAAGCCCCAGGACTGCCATACATAAATAAACAAACAAATAAATAAAGGGGGGGGGAGGTCAAGCAACCAGCTAAATGAGCAAAGGAAGGTCCATCCAGCTACCTCCCCGCTGCCCAGCCCCTCACCCGTGTCCACAGCCCCCTTATTCCTGGACTTTCCTGCTCTCTCCCACCCTGGTTCTCTTCCTTACAGTCCCAGACCCTCCAACTAGAGTCATCCAGAGAACAGTGTTCCTTCTTTCTTTAAAAAAAAATGGAGGGGACATTTACAACAAGTCACCATTTGAGACTACCCCCTCAATGGCTTTCCATGTATTTGCCATGTTGTCCATAACTGCTTTAATTCCAGAACCTTCCAGGCACCCCACAAAGAACTCATGAGCCGTCCCCCTCCATTCCCTCCTGCTCCTGGTGACCTTGAGTCTGTTTTGTGTCTTCAGCCTCTCCCCTCTTCAGCTGTGCTCTCTAGAGCAGGCAGTCCCGCAACTCCCCATCTTTGTGCTGGGTCCTAACCGTGTCTCCCCGTAACTGTGAGCTCAGCGAGGGCAGGGAGTGTCTGCCCAGCACTCAGCCAGGCCCAGACCCATGGCAGGCATTCTGTGGTGGTTGCTGCATGGGTGATGGGCTTACACACTTTCCTCTTGCAAACTTCAGAGTGAATTCAAGAAGGGTCCCAAGAGCGGCCCGTGTCCTTCTGTAGCGTCATCTCGGGGCTGCCTGCTTTTGTGCCACTCCCTTGGAAGGCAGTAGTTCAGCACATCCAGCAGTGGACGCCACGGGCCTGTGCCGAGGCCCAGCTGCTCACAGAACCGTTTTTACGTCATCCAGTCAATCATGATTTTTGTTTGTTTGTTTATTTGTTTGTTGCCAGTCCTGGGGCTTGAACTCAGGGCCTGAGCACTGTCCCTGAGCGGCTAGCACTCTACCAGCTGAGCCACAACGCCACTTCCGGCTTTTTCTGTATATGTCGTACTGAGGGATATGACCCAGGACTGGACAAGCACTCTACCACTAACACACCTTTCCAGACTCAGTGAATCATGTTTGAAAACAGAGATGTTGCCAGCCCTCTAGCTGAAGTCCAGGTGCAGTCGAGAGAGCTCCGTGCACTTCCAGTACCACTGAGGCACCGGGAGCAGGATTTAACCCTGCCTTCCCTAGCCTCCCCATCCTGCCCCTAGCCACAGCGCTCTGGACTTGACCTCCTCATGGGGAGATGGAGCCCGTACACTTGAGATGGAGGGCTGGCATCTGGGTGACTAGTCGGACAGGGAGAGCCACTCAGGGCTCCTAGTGATGTGTGGACTGTGTCCCACCTCAGCCAGTGAGCTCCTCCGACAGCGAGGAGGCCCCCGGAGCTGACCCTGCGGGGGGCAGTGACGCGGACGAGGGCAGCGAGGACCGGGGGGTCATGGCTGTCACAGCCGTGACCGCTGCAGCTGCCAGCGACAGGATGGAGAGCGACTCCAACTCCGACAAGAGCAGTGACCACAGTGGCCTGAAGCGGAAGACAGCGGCGCTGAAGGTAGGGGCGAGACAGGACGGCCTGGCGCATGTAGGCCAAAGGCTGCCCACTTCTGTCCCGTCTGGGAGGCGCGTCCTCCTGCCCTCTCTGTCAGCCTTCATTCCCCCCTCCCATTTCTCCCCTCTCTCCTCCTTTCTCCCTTCTCCCCTCTCCCCTCTCCCCTTCCCCTCCTCGACTTTGCAGTCCTCTTGCCTCGGCTTGCTCTGTGCTGGGATTACAGGAATGAATCCTCATGCCTGACTTATTGAGATGATGGGGGTCTTGTGAAGTGTTTCAGGTTCTCAGAAACCACCTCACTCAGCTGGTCTCAGGTTAAAATGAGGACTTTAGTCTTGCTATTGAATGGACTTTAATGTCGTATAGCCAGGGACCACTCATGTCTGTCATCTTAGCTATTCAGGAGGCTGACAGATATGGGGATATGGCTCACATGATAGAACATCTCCCTAGCAAGCTCAAGACCCTGAGTTCAAATCTCAGCGCTGCAAAAAAAAAAAAAAAAGGTCAGGAGGCTGAGAGTTGAGGATCAAGGTTCAAAGCCAATCCAGGCAGGGAAGTTTTTGAGACTCTTTATCTCCAATAAACTACCAAAAAGATCCAGAAATGGAGCTATGGCCCAAGTGGTAGAGCACTGTCCTTGAGCAACAAGTTCAGGGACAGCACTCAAGCTCTGATCTCAAGCCCCAGAAGCAGTGGGAAATATGAATGTATTTATGGTGATGATTTAATTTTTATTTTCCTTTTGCTGGTCCTGGGTGCTATCCCTGATCTGCTTTTGCTCAAGGCTGGCACTCTACCACTTGAGCCACAGTACCATTTCTGGCTTCTTCTGAGTCTCATGGACTTTCCTGCCTGGGCTGTCTTCAAACTGCAGTCCTCACATCTCAGCCTCCTAAGTAGCTAGGATTACAGGCATGAGCCAGTGGCACCCAGCATGATTTAATTCCTCCACCTTCCCCCCAAACTTCTTAGAACATACTTGGCCTTTTTGTTATTGTTATTTTGTGAGGGGTTTTGCCTTGAATTTATTTGTTCATTATTGTGTGTATGTGTGTTTGCATGTGTTTCTGCATGCGCGCATGTGTGTGTGTGTGTGTGTGTGCCAATCCTGAGGCTTGAACTCAGAGCCTAGGCACTGTCCCAGCACTTTTTGCTTAAGGCTGGCATTCTACCACTTGAGCCACTGCTCTACCTCCATATTTTCCTGGTTAACTGGAGATGAGTCTGATTTGTCTGCTTAGGCTGGCTTCCAGTTGGAATCATCAGCTCTGTCTCCTGAGTAGCTAGGATTATAGGTCTGAGCATAGTGCCCAGCTAAATCGATAGCTTTTCTTTTCTTTCCTTTTTTTTTTCCTTTTTTAAGTGGTAGTAGAGCATTTGAATTCAGAACCTCACACTTGAGAGGCAGACCCACATCTCTTGGAGTGTGTATGTGTGCGTGTGTATGCCTGCCTGTCCTAAGGCTTCAACTCAGGGCTAGATGCTGGCATTCTACCGCTTGAGCTACTCCACTTCTGGCTTTTTTTTTTTTTTGGTAGTTAAAAGGAGATAAGCCTCATAGACCTTACTGCCCGGACTGGCTTTGAACTGTGATCCTCAGATCACAGCCTCCTGAGTAGCTAGGCTTACAGGCATGAGCCACCAGCACTGAGCTCTATGAGACTCATCTCCAGTTAACCATCAAAAAATTCAGAAGTGGCCAGGTACGGGTGGCTCACGCCTGTAATCCTGTCTACTCAGGAGGCTGAGATCTGAGGATCACAGTTCAAAGCCAGCCCCAGGCAGGAAAGTCCATGAAACTTATCTCCAATAAACCATTAGAAAACCGGAAGTGGCACTGTGGCTCAAGTGGTAGAGCACTCGCCTTGAGCTGAAGAACTGAGGGACAGCGCCCAGGCCCAGAGTTCAAGCCCCACGATGGACCAAAAAAAAAATCCAGAAGTGGAGCACGCGCGCGCACACACACACACACACACACACACACACACACACACACCCAGAAGTGGAGCACGCACACACACACACACACACACACACACACACACACACACACAGCTTCTAGACCCTCTGCCACCCCTGGGCTTTTCATCCCTTGCCATGAGCGCTGCTTGCTGGGTTACTGATAGTGGCCACGCTTCCTCGCAGATGTCCGTCTCGAAACGAGCTCGCAAAGCCTCCAGTGACCTGGATCCAGCCAGCATCTCGCCGTCAGAGGATGAGAACTCAGAGAGCTCGTCTGAGTCAGAGAAGACCAGTGACCAGGTGAGCAGCTGCCTGCTCCTTTGGAGGGCGGGCCGGGGCCTGTGTGAGGGAGAACCCCACGTGGCAGCCCACACCCCCTGCAGCTCCCTTCTCCTCCCACAGGATTTCACCCCTGAGAAGAAAACTGTGGGCCGGCCACCTCGGAGGGGGCCCCCAGGAGGGCGGAAGAAAAAGGTAGGGTGCCCTGTGGTCCCTTTTCTCAGTTTACATGGGGCTTCTCTCTCCCAGCCCCGTGGCTTCCAGCCATGACTGACGCACAGAACATGTGGCCCTCTGTGGTGGGGCCCAGGCAGTTTCTTGAGGCGCAGCAGGTTCCGATTCACTATGCCCAGTGTGGCATTCTGGGGCTGGCATACCACAAGCCTGCAGAGCCGCGTGCGTGCGTGCGTGCATGCGTGTGTGTGTGCGCGCGCGCGTGTGCTTACATGTGTGTGTGTGCGTGCGTGCGTACATGTGTGTGTGTGTGCGTGTGTGCGTGCATGTGTGTGTGTGTGTGTACAAGCTAGGGTGAGTACTGCATGCTGGGCTGGGCCGGGGCAAGTGGCGGCTGCTCATTGGCCTGAGGAGGGCATGTTTGGCCCTGACCTCCACGAGCTGCCAGGCCTGTGCCACCTGCCCTTTTGTTGTAAGGAGGGGTTTGGATGGCACTGAAGGCAGTGGGGGATGGGTGGCCTTCGGCCCTGTGACCCTCTTCCTGCTCGGCCCCGACACCCTGCTGTGTGCCCCAGAAGGTGCCCACAGCCTCCGACTCCGACTCCAAAGCAGACTCTGACGGGGTGATGGCGCAGCCAGCAGCGGTGGCCAGGTCAGCATCCTCCTCCTCCTCCTCCTCCTCCTCCTCCTCCTCCGACTCCGATGTGTCTGTCAAGAAGCCTCAGCGCGGCCGGAAGCCAGGTAGGCGTGCAGGCCAGGGTGAGCCTGGGTGGGCGTGCTGAGGCGAGGTGGTGAGCATCCTCCTTTTCCCTAGCGGAGAAGCCGCCCCCCAAACCCCGTGGGAGGAAGCCGAAGCCCGAGAGGCCACCTTCCAGCTCTAGCAGTGACAGGTAGGAGGCGCGCGGGTGGGGCCGGGGGGCGGGGCCGTCACGGGGGCGGGGCTTCCGCGGGGGAGGTGGAGCTTTGCGAGGGCCTGCCGCTGGGGGCGAGGCCTCTGGGGCCGGGGGGAGGGGTCGTCTTCAGGGGGCGGGGCTGGTGGGAGGGGCCGTCACAGGGTTGGGGGGCGGTGGGAGGGCCTACTGCTGGGGGCAAGGCCCCTGGGAGGAGCTCATCCGGGAGCATAGCCTGAGGGAGGGCCTGCTGCTGGGGGCGGGGTATGGGAGGGACCGTCTTCAGGGGCGGGGCCGGTGGGAGGGGCCTTCGCTGGGGGCGGGGCTGGTGGGAGGGTGCATCTTCAGGGCGGGGCCGGTGGGAGGGGTCTTTGCTGGGGGCGGGGCGGTGGGAGGGGCCTTCGCTGGGGGCGGGGTATGGGAGGGACCGTCTTCAGGGGCGGGGCCGGTGGGAGGGGTCTTTGCTGGGGGCGGGGCGGTGGGAGGGGCCTTCGCTGGGGGCGGGGCTGGTGGGAGGGTGCATCTTCAGGGCAGGGCCGGTGGGAGGGGTCTTTGCTGGGGGCGGGGCGGTGGGAGGGGCCTTCGCAGGGGCGGGGCCGTGGGGCGGCGCTGGGACCATCTCAGGGCTGAGCCCATGGCCGCCTCCCCGCAGCGATAGCGATGAGGTGGACCGCATCAGCGAGTGGAAGCGGCGTGATGAGGAGCGGAGGCGCGAGCTGGAGGCCCGGAGGCGGCGTGAGCAGGAGGAGGAGCTGCGGCGGCTGCGGGAGCAGGAGAAGGAGGAGAAGGAGCGGCGGCGAGAGCGGGCCGAGCGCGGGGACGCCGAGTGTGCGGGCAGCGCGGGCAGCAGCGCCGACGAGCTCAGGGATGACGACGAGCCCGGCAAGAAGCGCGGCCGCAAGGGCCGGGGCCGCGGCCCCCCGTCCTCCTCTGACTCGGAGCCCGAGGCCGAGCTGGACCGAGAGGTGGGCGCCCGGGAGGACCTGCGCCGCGGCCGCCCTCCCCATCCCACACCTTCATGAGGGACTTCCGGGATACCGAGCACCCGACGAGGTGTGGGAACGGGGCGCGGGCTTGCAGGCTGCAGAGCCGGCGGCCACACCCTACTCCTGTTGGCTTTAGCTGCTTTTCAGATAAGGTTTCTCCCTTTTCTCCAAGCAGGCCTAGACTGCAGTCCACCTGCCTTCTCCTCCCGCATACCTCAGTCTCCACCCCCCTCACCAGACCCCATTTTCCACTTTAGAAAAGGTCCATCTCAAACGCTTCAGGCGTAATGGTGTTTTAAGTAAGGAACTGAACACAGCAAGGGGCAGTGCACAAGGATTCTGGGCAGGGGAGCAGCCTGTGCAAAGGCCCTGGGGCAGGTGGAGCCTGATTTGTTTGAGGACCAGTGAAGGAGCCCGAGTGGCTGAAACAGAGGTGGGAGGGGGCGGGGAGGCAGGGAGGAGAGAGGGTGGGTTGTGCAGTGAAAAGAGGAGCGGGCTGTGACACTGCTGCCCCTCTGTTGGGTGGAGGCCTGGACTCACGACCCCTGTGCTCCTGCCGCTGTAGGGAAGGAAACCTGGAAGGAAGTCCCAGTCACAGGGCTCGGAGCCCACGAAGAAACCCAGCCAGAAGGAGAAGAGGGGCCGGCCCGAAGACAAGCAGAGAGCCAGGTCAGTACCACCCCCGGCCAGGCCCGCAGCCCCGGAAGCAGGTGGCCGCCCTCCATCCATGCCAGGGCCCAGCTGCGGGGTGGGAGCCCGGTGCCCCTGGGCGCTGGTGGCTACCTGGGCTAGGTGACCAGGGACCTGTGTGGGGGTCACCTCTCCGCAGGCCTGGGAAAGTGGAGCGAACCCGGAAACGGTCCGAAGGGCTCCCACTGGACAGGAAGGTGGAGAAGAAGAAAGGTGAGGAGCCGGGGCGGGCGGGGCAGACCGGGCCGGGCCAGCACCTCCCTCAGGAGGGCGCAGTGTCTCCGCAGAGCCCCGGGGTCCTGGAGAGTAGGGGGCTGAGCTGCCCGGGGCCGGGGCCTGCAGTCCCCACTTAGATCCGGTGGTGTCTCTTCTGGCCCAGAACCTTCTGTAGAGGAGAAGCTGCAGAAGCTGCACAGTGAGATCAAGTTTGCGCTGAAGGTGGACAATCCGGTAAGACGTCCCTCGGCCACCTCACGTCCCGGGAGTTCTCGTTACATCAGCGAAGGCCTGGGTGGACCTGTGGGGTCAGGGCCCGGCCTCCCCTGCAGTGTAGGGGACCCCCCCACCGCCATGCTGGCTCCTGGCTGGCCTCTGGCCATGGTGCAGCCACAACCCTTCTCTCCCCCCCCCCCCCCCCCCAGGACGTGCAGAGGTGTCTGAATGCACTGGACGAGCTGGGGACGCTGCAAGTGACCTCCCAGATCCTGCAAAAGAACACCGACGTGGTGGCCACACTGAAGAAGGTAAGGCAGGAGGCAGACGGGGAGAGGCCCTGCGGGGGTGGAGGCCATGGGGACTGGCAAGGGTCTTGTGGGGGGGGTCAGCCGGCTCCCTGGGGTGACACGGTGGCCATGTGGGCAGATTCGCCGGTACAAAGCCAACAAGGACGTCATGGAGAAGGCGGCGGAGGTCTACACGCGGCTCAAGTCGCGGGTGCTGGGGCCCAAGATTGAGGCGACCCAGAAAGCCAACAAGACGGGCGCCGAGAGGGAGAAGACGGAGGAGCTGCTGAGCGGGGAGGAGGCCCCCAAGGACAAGGCTGAGGACGAGGCGGCTGGTGAGGACCGGGCGGCGGAGCCTGCTCCTGTGTCTCGGGCTAGAACATTCTAGCGGGGTCACACCCTGCCTCTGTCCAGGTGGCCGCAGTAGCTGCAGACCAGCCTCACGGTGGCTCTCGCGTGAGCCTGCGCATGCTGAGGGCCGTTTGGGGGAGACTCTCTGCAAAGCAGAGGCTCAGCACCCGAGGCCCTCTCCGACCACAGGTCCGCCACGGGGAGCGTCAGGGAGTGACCTCAACTTCTCCATGCCCCCTAGATCTCCCAGCCCCCGTGAACGGCGATGCCACATCACAAAAGAGGGAGAGCGTGGAGGACAAGGAGGAAGACGGGCAGGACTCGGAGGAGGGCGCGAGGTGCGGCTCTGGAGACCTGCAGGGCGAGTGAGTGTGCCACGGGCCCCCGGGTGCCCCCCCCCGCGGCCGCGCCCCCCCCTTCCTAGCCCACAGACAGCGCCAGGCCCAGGTGGCGTGCGTGGCCGCTCTGGGGGCCATCACCTGGTGTCTGCCCCGGGTCTCAGGGTCTCTGCAGGCAGCGGCCAGGACCCCGCTTCCCCTCACGCCTGCCCTGCTCCCCGTGGCCTGGAGCTGGCCGAGCAGTCCTCACCCCCCTTTTCATTGTGCCCCCCCCCCCAGCAGCCTGCGGGAGGGCCCCGACCCGGACAGGCCTGGGGGCGAGCGGCAGGAACGCGAGAGGGTGCGGCTGGACGAGGAGAGCTGAGCTCGGGCTGCGGCTGCCGCCCCCTTCCCGACCCCCACCAGAGCAGAGACCTTGGGGGGAACCGCTGTGCTGTTTGTTTGTATCTGTCCCCTCGGGGGGTTTTCTGCCTAATTTCTGTGATTTCTGACCGACATGAAATGACTATAAAGGGTTTTCTAATGAAAAGAGATCCCTTTTATTGGCTCGGTTTGCTGACGGCGGTGGGGAGCGGTGTGCGTCCCCGTGCCCCAGAGGCCCCTGGGAGCGGGTGGACTGTTGAAGAAGGCCTGGAGCGCAGCGCTGGGCCTGGCGTCTCCATGGCTGTAGCCGGCGGCACGCGGGTCGCTCCTCTGTGCTGCGTGTGGCATGAAGCTGGGGAAGGAAAGGCTGGGGGGCCACAGGCCCTGCCATGGCCGCCACCTGCTGCTTCCTCCGTCCCCACGGCCCCCGCCCCCGCTGGCCCGTTCCTGCCCGTTCTGCAGATCGTAGGCCAGGGAGGACGGCCAGGCCTCGGCTTCACCTCGCCAGCCCTCTGCGCGGCCTGGCTCCGTCCCTCAAGCCAGATCCCCTGTGAAGGCATTTCCCACCTGCTGTGCGCTCGCCAGGGGCCGGGTCAGCCTCTGCCGCAGTGTGGAGGTGCCCCACAGCTGGTGGCCACAGGAAGGGGCCCACGGGGGCTGAGGAAGGGTCCTCACGCGGGAGTGGAGCTCCCAGAAGTCCTTGCAGCCAGTCCTAGCCACACAGCCCCTCCCTGGAGCCAGGGCAGCAGGCGCAGACAGAGCCCCATCCCCGGGGCCCCTGCTTGGACGCACAGGACGAGGGCCCTGGGGGAGCAGGCTGGGCTGGGGGTGCACAGGACCGGCCTGGGGCCGCAGATGCCTACAGCGGGTGCGCGCGGGGGCCCGAGGCGAAGGGCCCCACGAGCCAGCCGAGCGGGGGGCTGTGCTGCAGGGCCTCCAGCCGTGCCTCCAGCCCCTGCCACGCGCGGCTCACACCCTCCCGGCTCTGGGCCAGGCGCTCGGCTGGCAGCTCCACGGCGGAGCCCACGGAGGACACCAGGCTGTAGAGCTCACACAGGCTGTGGCGGGCACGGCCCAGCTGCCGCTGGGGCTCCGACAGGCCCCGCAGGCCGCAGGCCAGGCCGCTGTAGGCCGAGTGCAGCTGGCGGAGGAGGGTGCAGACCCTGGACAGAGCCTCGGCGCCTGGTGCCTGTGGACCAGACAGCCGGTGAGCAGGGGAGGGCAGGGGTGAGCAGGGGAGGGCAGGGGAGGGAGGGAGAGGGGCAGGGGGACGGCTGGGGAGGAGAGAGGGCCACTGCACCTCTTGGTTCCCTGTGTGGTCCGCTGTGGGGCTAGCTTCTCCATCTCCACACTGCTGCTCTCCTGGAGCCTGCACCTCGGCCTGCATCTGGAAGGGTGGAAAAAAGGGGGGTCAGTACGGGGAGGAGGGCGCCTGGCAGGGACTAGTGAGTCCCAGAGCACAGGGCCTGGAGCTCAGGCTGGGCCGTCCCCCGGGGTCTCATGGGAAGGGACCAGAGGTGGGCTTAGGAGTGGCGACCAGGCATCTTGATGTCTGTAAGATGATGTCACCATCCAGCACGAACCCAGCCATGACTCCCTAGAGTCCCGGCCGTCAGCATGGCTTCTAGGGTTGAGTCCCCAGGGCAGGATCTGTCCTGTCCCCTCTGCCACCCTCTCAGCATATTTCTGCCTTGGGGCCTTGGCCCAGCCAGTCCTCAGGGGCCCCTGGCTGACGCTGAGGGACATGAGTGGGTGTCGCAGTGGGAGGGGCTCCTGAGACGCTGCTCAGCTGCCTGCAGAGACCCTGCCCCAGGATGCACAGGCACTGTGCCCAGGAAGCTGTTTGATTCGCCCTCAGGGTCCTGAGTCCAGCTGTACTGGCATTCGCTCCCCAGCTGCCCCCGCCAGCCTGGCTCTGCACCCCTGCCCCTCTGGGGGCGCGGGCCTGCCCGGCGTACGGTGTGTGTGTGTTGAATGGCGCATGGGCAGAGGTGTGGGGAGGGGCAGCAGCGTCCTCACCGTCTGGAAGGCGTCCTGCAGCTGGGCCAGGGCGTCCCGGGCCTGGAACTGACTGTGTTGAACGTGGCTCAGGCTGTGCTCGAAAGCCCGCTGGCGGAAGCCGGGGGCCAGGTCCCCGAGGCACACGAAGTAGCTGGCCTGGTCAGCCGAGAGCACCTTCGGCCCCGGCTCCGAGGCCTCCAGCTGGGCTGGAAGAGAGACAGCCAGCCTCACTCCAGGAAACCCCAGGCCCGCGCTTGGGTTTGGCCCAGAGCCCAGGCAGTGCCGCCCCTGCCCTGCGCGTCCGCCTCACCTTGCTCCTGGGCGCTCATGGGGTGGAAGAGCTCCCCCAGCCCTCGCAGCTCATGGCAGAGCCCGGCAGGCGCTATGTCTACCCCGTGTGCATCCATGAGCTCACTGTGGGCTCCGCCCCCGTCGAGGCTGCCCGGGGCCCCACTCCGCGCAGCACCAGCTCCAGCGTGGACAGCGCCCGTGATCACGTCTCCTGCCTCCGTGAGTCGGGTGGATGTGACGGCTCTGCTGCCAGCCAGCGTGGCGTCGCTGGTGTCCAGGCCACCCTGGACGGTGCCTCTGGCCACCTCCATGCCCTGGGTGACCCCGCTGCAGATTGTGGCCTTGGCACCCAGAGCCACGTTCTGGGTGGTGTGGAGGCCGGATTGAACGGTGCCCTGGGCCACGTTCACAGCCCCCGCCAGCCCCGAGGCCACTGTGTCCTTGGTTCCCATGACGACAGACTTGGTGGTGTCCAGACCCATCTGGACTGTGCCTTTGGCCACGTTCACGGCTCCCGTGAGCCCGGTGGCCACTGTGTCCTTTGTGCCGGTCAGCACGGTGTTGCCAGTGTCCACGCCAGCCTGCACGGCGCTCTTGGCCACATTCATGGCGCCTGTGAGCCCCGTGGACACTGTGTTTTTAGTACCTGTAAGAACAGCTTTTGAAGCGTCCAGGCCGGTCTGCACTGTCCCTTTGGCCATGTTCAGAGCTCCTGTGAGCCCAGGGGCCACGGTATTCTTGGTGCCGGTCAGCACGCTCTTGGTGGTGTCCAGGCCGGTCTGCACTGTCTCTTTGGCCACATTCACGGCCCCCGTGAACCCCGTGGTCACTGTATCTTTTGTGCCTGTGAGGACAGCTTTCGAAGTGTCCAGGCCACCCTGGACAGCGCCCTTGGCCACATTGATGGCGCCAGTGACCCCACTGCTGACCGTGTCCTTCGTTCCGGTCAGCATGGTCTTGCTGGTGTCCACGCCAGCCTGCACGACGCTCTTGGCCACATTTGTGGCCCCCGTGAGCCCCGTGGACACTGTGTCCTTGGTGCCCAGGATGACAGATTTGGTGGTGTCCAGGCCAGTCTGCACTGTCCCCTTGGCCACATTGATGGCGCCAGTGACCCCACTGCTGACTGTGTCTTTCGTGCCGGTCAGCATGGTCTTGCTGGTGTCCATGCCAGCCTGCACGGCGCTCTTGGCCACGTCCACAGCCCCTGAAAGCCCGGTGGCCACTGTGTCCTTCGTTCCTGTCAGCATGGTCTTGCCGGTGTCCACGCCAGCCTGCACGGCGCTCTTGGCCACGTTTGTGGCCCCTGTGAGCCCGGTGGCTACTGTGTCCTTGGTGCCCATGACCACAGACTTGGTGGTGTCCAGGCCGGTCTGCACTGTCCCCTTGGCCACATTCATGGCGCCTGTGAGCCCCGTGGACACTGTGTTCTTGGTGCCCGTGAGGACAGCCTTTGAAGCGTCCAGGCCGGTCTGCACTGTCCCTTTGGCCATGTTCAGAGCTCCTGTGAGCCCAGGGGCCACGGTATTCTTGGTGCCGGTCAGCACGCTCTTGGTGGTGTCCAGGCCGGTCTGCACTGTGCCTTTGGCCACATTCACGGCCCCCGTGAGCCCTGTGGCCACTGTATCTTTTGTGCCTGTGAGGACAGCTTTCGAAGTGTCCAGGCCACCCTGGACAGCGCCCTTGGCCACATTGATGGCGCCAGTGACCCCACTGCTGACTGAGTCTTTTGTTCCAGTGAGCATGGTCTTGCTGGTGTTCACCCCAGCCTGCACAGCACTCTTGGCCACGTTCTTGGCCCCCGTGAGCCCCGTGGACACTGTGTCTTTGGTGCCCATGACCACAGACTTGGTGGTGTCCAGGCCGGTCTGCACTGTCCCCTTGGCCACATTGATGGCGCCAGCGACCCCACTGCTGACCGTGTCCTTCGTGCCGGTCAGCATGGTCTTGCTGGTGTCCACGCCAGCCTGCACGGCGCTCTTGGCCACATTTGTGGCCCCCGTGAGCCCCGTGGACACTGTATTTTTAGTACCTGTAAGGACAGCCTTTGAAGTGTCCAGGCCCGCTTGGACTGTCCCTTTAGCCATGTTTGCAGCCCCTGTGAGCCCAGTGGCCACTGTATCCTTCGTGCTGGTCAGCACGGTCTTGCTGGTGTCCACGCCAGCCTGCACGGCGCTCTTGGCCACGTTCACAGCCCCGGTGAGCCCTGTGGCCACTGTGTTTTTGGTGCCCGTGAGGACAGCCTTTGATGTGTCCAGGCCGGTCTGCACTGTCCCTTTGGCCACATCCACAGCCCCCATGAGGCCAGTGGCCACTGTGTCCTTGGTGCCCATGACCACAGATTTGGTGGTGTCCAGGCCGGTCTGGACCGTTCCCTTGGCCATGTTTGCAGCCCCTGTGAGCCCGGTGGCCACTGTGTCCTTCGTGCCGGTCAGCACGGTCTTGCTGGTGTCCACGCCAGCCTGCACGGCGCTCTTGGCCACATTCATGGCGCCTGTGAGCCCCGTGGCCACTGTGTTTTTGGTGCCCGTGAGGACAGCCTTTGACGTGTCCAGGCCGGTCTGCACCGTCCCTTTGGCCACATTGATGGCGCCGGTGACTCCACTGCTGACTGTGTCCTTCGTTCCGGTCAGCACGGTCTTGCTGGTGTCCACGCCAGCCTGCACGGCCGTCTTGGCCACATTCACGGCCCCCGTGAGCCCTGTGGCCACTGTATCTTTTGTGCCTGTGAGGACAGCTTTCGAAGTGTCCAGACCCGTTTGGACTGTTCCTTTGGCCACATCCACAGCCCCCATGAGGCCAGTGGCCACTGTGTCCTTGGTGCCCATGACCACAGACTTGGTGGTGTCCAGGCCGGTCTGGACCGTTCCCTTGGCCATGTTCGCAGCCCCTGTGAGCCCGGTGGCCACTGTATTTTTTGTGCCTGTGAGGACAGCCTTTGACGTGTCCAGGCCGGTCTGCACTGTCCCCTTGGCCACATTGATGGCGCCAGTGACCCCACTGCTGACTGTGTCCTTCGTGCCGGTCAGCACGGTCTTGCCGGTGTCCACGCCAGCCTGCACGGCGCTCTTGGCCACGTCCACAGCCCCTGAAAGCCCGGTGGCCACTGTGTCCTTCGTGCCGGTCAGCACGGTCTTGCCGGTGTCCACGCCAGCCTGCACAGCGCTCTTGGCCACATTCATGGCGCCCGTGAGCCCCGTGGACACTGTGTTCTTGGTGCCCGTGAGGACAGCCTTTGAAGTGTCCAGGCCGGTCTGCACCGTCCCTTTGGCCATGTTCAGAGCTCCTGTGAGCCCAGGGGCCACGGTATTCTTGGTGCCGGTCAGCACGCTCTTGGTGGTGTCCAGGCCGGTCTGCACTGTGCCTTTGGCCACATTCACGGCCCCCGTGAGCCCTGTGGCCACTGTATCTTTTGTGCCTGTGAGGACAGCTTTCGAAGTGTCCAGACCCGTTTGGACTGTCCCTTTGGCCACATCCACAGCCCCCATGAGGTCAGTGGCCACTGTGTCCTTGGTGCCCATGACCACAGACTTGGTGGTGTCCAGGCCGGTCTGTACTGTCCCTTTGGCCACGTTCACAGCGCCTGTGAGCCCGGTGGCCACTGTGTCCTTCGTTCCAGTCAGCACGGTCTTGCTGGTGTCCACGCCCACCTGCATGGTGCTCTTGGCCACGTTTACGGCTCCCGAGAGTCCGGTGGCCACCGTGTCCTTGGTACCTGTGAGGACCACCTTGGAGGTGTCCAGCCCCCCTTGCATCACCCCTTTGGCCAGCCCCACGGCCCCCAGGACCCCTTCAGATGCTGCATCCTTGGTGCTGGCCAGGGCTGACCGTGTGGTGTCCAGGCCGCCCTGGACCACACCCTTGGCCGAGTCCAGCATGCTGGTTATCCCCGAGGAGAGGGCGTCCTTGGTCCGCGTCGTCGTGGAGCCCGCCTGGGCCGCTGCGGTCAGCTGAGGGGGAAGCAGGGCGGTCAGCAGCAAGTGGAGGCCGCAGGCCTCTGCCACCCGCCACCCACAGGCCCAGCTCCCGCCAGCACCACTGGGGCCCGACTCCCCTCAGCTGAGCCCTGCGTGTCCTCCATTCACTATAGGGGACCCTGGCACCCCAAGACACGGCATTCTTAGTTACCATTACAGCTGACCCAAATGTCCCTCTTCTGAGCCCTGAGGCTTGAACTCTGGGCCTGGAGCTGTCCCTGAGCTCTTTTGCTCAAGGCGAGCGCTCTACCACTTGAGCCACAGCACCACTTCCTGTTTCCTGGTGGTTCACTGGAGATAAGAATCCCTCAGATCTCAGCCTCCCGAGTAGCCAGGGTTACAGGAAGTGAGCCACCAGCGCCCAGCCATTCTGTACTCTTGCTCCTGAGGTGTTGAGCCATCTGGGCTTAGTGTTTATTAAAACCAATGTACTCACTAGGCAGGAGTTTGTAATCCCAGTTATTGAGTTACTCAGGAGGCTGCGATCAGAGGATCACAGTCCGAAGCCAGCCTTTATCTCCAATGAACCCCCAGAAAACCAGAAGTGGAGCTTTGGTTCAAGTGGTAGAGTGCTAGCCTTGAACACAAACCTAAGTAAGAGTGTGTGGCCCTAGGACTGGTCACACACACACACACACACACACACACACACACACACACACACACACACACACACACACAATGCATTCAAGCCAGAAAGTCACCACACAGGAGCATGACTCAGCCCCTCAGCCTGGTGCTGGAATTCTCTCTCCAAGTTCAAATCCAGCTCTCCTCACTTGCAGGGTGACAGTAAGCAAGCCACATCCCTTCTCTGAGCCTTCACTGGACCTAAACCCAATGACTCCAGCAATGGGGGTGTGGCTTCCATGACGAATGTATTGTTTGGTGGGCGTGGCTTGGTAGATAGGGATGTGGCTCAAAAAATAATAGCCCGGCACCAGTGGCTCAGCCTGCAATCCTGGCCTCTCAGCAGGCTGATTTCTGAGGATTACAGGTCAAAGCCAAACCGGGCAGGAAAATCCCTGAGACCCTTATCTCCAATGGCACTGTGGCTCAAGTGGTAGAGCACTAGCCTTGAGCTGAAGAGCTGAGGGACAGCGCCCAGGCCCAGGGTTCAAAGCCCTATAACTGACTCCTCTCCCCAAAAATAAAAGCTCAGGGATGGTGCCCAGGCCCAGTTCTAGTCCCATGGGTATCCAAAAAGTTATTTCCATGGCTGGGGGGCTTGGCCACAGTGGTGTAGGGGGGCTTGGTTGTGGGTACGGCTTTCTTTGTGGGTGTGGCTTGGTTATGGGCGTGGATTCTTGTGGGCGTGGCTTAGTTGGTTGGGGGTGGCTCAAGGCAGCGAATGCCTGCTTCCCAAGCTTCCAGGCCCTGAGTTCAAACCCCATCCCTACACAAAAGAGCTCCTTGAGGAGAGTGGGGAGCTGGAATGCGGCCGCTGCTGCGTGCCGGCAGAAGAGCAGGGTATGGCCTCTGAGGGGTGCTTTGAGTTGAAGCAGGGGAGTCCAACTGGGGTGACCCAGTCGTACTTGGCTCTCTGGGAAGCCTGGCCAGCTAGTGCTCTGGGCAGAGCGGAGCGGAGAGTGGGGTGCAGGCCGCACCCTCAACCCTCCCAGCGCTTTGTCCCCCAGAATGTGGCCCCCAGCTGCCACACCCTCTGCAGGGCCGGGCTCATCTAGAACCAAGGTCCTGCCCGTGCCGCTGTGTGACTCGGGGTGGGCGTCTCAGCCTCTCTGGGTGTCTAGGATGCGATGAGCTATTTCTGTCTTTCTCACAGACTGACTCGGACAGGAGGGGAACATCAGGGTCTTTGGAGCATGGAGCTTGTGCCCATTTCCCAGATGTGCAAGCCGAGGCCCAGAGAGAGAGAGAGAGAGAGGAGCAGGAGCCACCAAGTCTCCCAGAGGCACAAACAGGCCGTGTCACACCGCGCGTGGGTGCCCACCCTCGTGGCCCACGCCCAGCTCCCGCCCAGCCGCCTCTCACCTCATCCGAAGGCTCCGGCAGCTTCTCCGGTTCCCCGGCCACCTGCTCCGGCTCCGGGGCCGCTGTGAGGACACCGGCGGTTGGGAAAGGCCCCGCTGCCCGGGGGCCTTTGCATCACTGCATGGAATGTCCCGGCCACCGTGCCAGGGACAGCGGAAGGTGGCACCCGCGGCCGCCAGCCAGGCTCAGCTCCCCCAGGGACCTTCTTCCCTCGGGGCCCTGGGTGCCCACCCAGGCTCCAGGGTCCACCGAGCCTGGGGTGACTTGAGGCAGAGCTTGGCTGTGTGTCCCCGAGGTCTGCGGTGCCCGAGGCAGCTGCCTGCAGCTCTGAGCCAGATCGGGGGGTCACGGGGGGGGGGGCTCCCCACGGGCTCCCCATGGAAGCCACTCCCCTGCCCATCCTGGGCCCGTCCTGTCCCAGCCAGCTCCTGTGTGACCCCAGGAGAGCCGCTGGCCGTCTCTGGACACCGGGCTCCCACACACACACTCCCGGGGGACCGCCGGGCTCAGCCCTCCACTTTAACCGGGCCTGTCCACCCATCGCTGCCTCAGTTTCCCCCATCGGGCACTGCTGTGACTGATGAGACCACCCAAGCACGCATCAAGCTCCCAAAGGGCCAGGCTTGCCTGTGTCCTGCCAGCCCGAGGACCCCCGTTCCCCCCCGCCGCCCCCCGTGGCTCGGTCCACTCACCCTGGGCCCGAGCTGGCGTGGCCGAGGGGTCGGGGGGCGGCCGGGCCTCCTTCCCGGAGCCACGGGCGTTGGCCACCAGGTTCCGGGCAGCGCCGAAGCCAGGCAGGGACCCGAAGAAGCTGCTCAGGGTCTGCATCGGGGGGCAGGGGGCGGAAGAGGCCGGGTGAGCAGAACGGGGGCTCGCCTGCGGCCTCCGACCCCCACGTTTTCTCCCCCCAGCTTACCTTGCCCTTCGACTTGGGGCGGCCCCGGCTCCCTTCTTCCCCAGCAGACATAGTGGCGATCTCAGGGACTGGAAGGGGTGAGGCAGAGAAGACGTGGGGGACCCCCACAGCTTCCCGTCCGCTGCACCCCAAGTTGGGGTTCCCGTGGGGAAGGCCCGGGGCTGGCAGCTGCTCCTGTGCTGAGCTCTCAGGCCTTATAGGGTCTGGGGCAGCGCAGGCCCCGCCCCGCGGCTGGCGGCCAGGGCTGGGGGGGGGGGGTCACGTGACCACCCATCCTGCCCAGTGCAGGCCCCGGCCCAGGACCTTTCCTCTGTTCTCAGGGCCTCTGCCCACGGTGCCAGCCCGGCTGCCCCGGGCCTCGTGACTCATGCACCAGCTGGGCTTAAAGCCTGAGCCCCGGGCACTTCAGCCCCCCGCCTCCACTCCCATTCATGGGATGGGTACAGGTCTCCTCCCGCCCGCCCGCACGCCTCGAACTCATCCTGCCTTTGAGCCTCAGTCTCCCCTGCCAGACCCCTCTGGGTGGCCCCACCTTCTTGCCCCCCCCCACCCTGCTCTGGCTTCCTTCTGTTCCAGACACCCCGGGTCTCCTCACCGTGGCTCCTCGAACGCAGCCAGGCTACCCCAGGACCTTTGCACAGCCTCTACTTCCTTGCACACCTCTGCCCCGGATACCCACACAGCTCTCTCCCCATCCCTCACCTCTGTGAGGTCACATGTGTTTACCAGGAGCCACTCAACAAACACTAGCTTAGCCTAGTCCAGGCCCACACAGGGTCTCAGAGGAGCAGGTGTCCTGAGGACCCGGGGAGGGGCATGGCTTTCTCTAGAAGGGACACACACACGCTAGCTGAGACACGGCTCCACGGAGCCCTGGGAGCGGCATGCCAGACGGCTGGGCTTGGCCCAACCCAGGAAGACTTCCCAGAGGAGGTGTGCTGTGTCCACAGCGCAAGGAAATGGTAGACAGGGTTCAGAGGCTGGACGCCAAGTAAGTGAGGGGCAGAGGAGCCCAGGGTGGCTCCATGGGGGGGTGGCTCCCAGGACATCTCCTAGGAGCTGTCTCTGTATTTCCTAAACAGGCGGGGAACAGAAGATGGCGGGTCCCCTGGCCAAGGCTTGATAAAGGTGACTGGGGGGGGGGGGGGGAGGGACAGAGCCAGATAAATAATAAAATTGAGGAGAAATAGCTCCTCTGCGCCCTGCCCTCCCACATTCCCCCTCCCTCTGAGGTCCAAGCCCGCCCTCCAGCACGACCTGCTCCATCTCCTCCCTGCCTCCCCGTCCGGCCACTCCCCTGCCCCAGCAGGTGCTGCTCCAAATCTGCCTGGGTGCCACCCATCCTGCCCCAGGGCCTTTGCACAGGCTGCTGCTGCCCCAGGTCCACCTTTCCCCCAACCCCTCACTTCCTTCCAGGCCTTTCCTCAGAGGTCACCTCCTACAGAAGCCATTCTGGGTCCACTCCGCTCCCCCCAACCCCCCATCAACAATTTCCCATTTGCTTTTTTTCTCACCATCTCAACATTAGTCTCCTTACACTTATTTTCCTACAACGTGAGCTACTACAAGGCAGGGGGTGTTGGGTTCGCCGTGAGTTCTGCCTGCCTGGCACACAGCAGGCGCTCAATAAATCTTCAGCTAATGGCAACAAACCTTCACGTGGATTTGGGGGCCTGGGATTCTGTATTTATACCACCAGCCCTGGTGGGAGGAGCCTGCGGGCCTGTCCATCAAGCTGGACAGGCGAGTATGGGCCGTCCCATTGGAGGAGAGGCTGCGAAGGCTTCCTGGGGGAGGAGTCAATGAGCCTTGGGTGGGAAGGGTGTGGGAGGGGGCCTGCGCGGCTGGGGACAGGGACTCAGGAGGAAGCTGGTCAGAGGACACTAGGGAGCTCTGGGGGTTCTGTAGCAGGAGCAGCTACAATCAGATCTGAGCTCCTCAGATCTCAGCCTGTTGAGTAGCTGGGATTACAGGCGGGTGCCGTGGTGCCCGGCTGGCTTTATTTACTTGTTAGATGTAGGAGCTGCTTGGCTGGGTTTCCCAGAACCACACCCTGGACGACGTCCCAGGGCAGCCACAGGCCGCCCTGACGTTATGCCCTGCGGGTGCTGGTTTCCCAACACCCCTGCCCAGCCACCGCCCAGAATGCGGTGAAAGGACCAGGAGTTGGGGTGAAGGGGGAGGCTGGCCGCCACCCTTGCTCGGCCTTTGCCCGTCTCCCCCATCCCCAACCAGTACCCCAGCAGCAGGACCGGCGCCTACGGTTATGGGGAGGTTGGGAGAGAAGGGCTTGGTTTCCGCCCCTGCCGGTCCGGTGCCCAGCTTTCTCCGTGGATTTGGTTCTTACCGGGTGCCGTAGCTCACGCCTGTAATGCCGGCTACTCGAGGAGCCCGAGATCAGGAGGGTCGTCAACACAGAAGCACCTTTGTTCTGAGAACACATGGCAGGGAAGGCGTCCCTCCATCTAGGATGTCCAGCCCCAAAAGGAAAGACTAGAACACTGTGCGAGTCTCAGAGTTTCTGACTTTATTTCCATCTAGTTGGGTATTGTTTTTTAGATAGAAAATGTGTTTGTGCCAGTCCTGGGGCTTGAACTCAGGGCCTGGGCGCTGTCCCTGAGCTTTAAAACGACAACCCAAAACCTCAAGGCTGGTGCTTTATCATTTGAGTCATAGCTCCACTTCTGGCTTTTTGCTGACATGGAGAAAGTCTCACAGACTTTCCTGCCCGGGCTGGCTTTGAACCAGGAGCCTCCCACCTCCGTCTCCTGAGTGAGCTGGGATGAGAGGCGTGAGCCACGGCGCCCGGCTCAGTTCCCTTTGTAGAGACAGGGTCTGGTGATGGGCTGAGGCTTTGCCTGGCCCCCTCTCTGGGGTGGGGGGGTCCTTCCCAGCTGGGGTAACAGGCAAGGCCGCCAGGCCCAGCAGTGGCCTGTTGGGGACAGCGGCGATGGCGCTGTGGGGTGCCCGGCGGCCGCCGAGGGTCAGCAGCGCCCGGGCAGCGTCAGAAGTCCAGCTCGGGCATGAGGGTGTGTGAACTCCGGGGGCTGGGGGGCTCGGGGTCCCCCGGGGTGCCCCCCGCTGCCCGGGATTGCCCGGCCGCCCAGGCCCTCTGATGGGCCGGCCAGTCCATGTGGGCCCAGCGCGGGTCGGGGTCCCCGATGACCTCGTCCACGCAGGTCACCAGGTCCAGCATGGGCTCCGCGCGCTCCACCAGCAGCGGCGCGAAGGGGCCGAGGAGCCAGGGCAGCGGCCCGGCCCACAGCGCCAGCGCCGGCCCCACCGGCACCTCCGCCGGCCGCGGCTGCCCGTGGCGGCCCCGCGCGTCCTCCAGGGCGGCCCGCAGCGCCGCCACGCCCGCCCGCAGCGCCGCCACGCGGGCCTGGGCGCCGGGGGGCAGCGCCTCCGCCAGCGCCTCCACCGCGCGCGCCAGCTCCGCCGCCAGCCCCTCCAGCTCCACCTGCAGACGGACAGACGCACGGACGGGCGGGGGTTGGGGACCTGCCTTGACTCCGTTTCCCCTCTGGGCATCCTCAGCTGGGATCACCTGGGTACCTCAGTTTCCCCCCTGAACACCTTCTAAATGAGATTGGGCTACCTGCCTCCATGTCCCCTCTAGACATTGTGTGTGTGTGTGTGTGTGTGTGTGTGTGTATGTGCACGTGCAAGAGCCAGTTCTGGGATTTGAACTCAGGGCCTGGGCACTATCCCTGTGCTCTTCAGCTCAAAGCGAGCGCTCTACCACTTGAGCCACAGCGCCACTTCCAGTTTTCCGGTGGTTCATGGGAGATCAGAGTCTCAGGGACTTTCCTGCCCGGGCTGGCTTCGAACTGCGATCCTCAGATCTCAGCCTCCTGAGTAGCTGGGGTGACAGGTGTGAGCCGCTAGCGCCTGATCATCAGCACTTGGTTTGAGTCACGGTCAGCCTGGTCAGCCTGGAGCCCCCTCCCCTGCTGGGCCGCGCCCCCCTCCAGCCCCTCACCTGGCCGCAGTGGCCGTTCTGCAGGGGGCTCGGGCTCCGGTCCCCCCGGGGCTCCTGGACCTTGGCGGGCAGGGCTGCCCTGTCCTGCACTCTGTGGATCTGAGGGACAGGAACAGGTGTCAGCCTCCCAGGAGACAGGCGCAGTCTGCCCCTCCATTAATAAGCTTTAGAACCGCGCAGGGCCCTGTGGGCTGCGGGGTGGACTTGACCCTGAGAGACTAAGAGCTCTGGATGGCGGTGGGCAGAGCAGGGAGGGCGGGAGGGAGGGAGGGTGGGACTGGCGCTCACAGGTGCCCTCTAGTGGCGGAGGCGAGGAGGACGGGGCGGGGCGGGGAAGGTGGCTGAAGGGTCAGCGCTGGGCTGCAGTCCTCCCGCCTGGGCCTCCTGCGGGCTGGGATTGCAGGCACGCACCACCAGGCCCACATCCTCTCCTCCGCCGGGAGCACGGGCAGCCAGGCCCTGCCACCGCCCCCCCACCCCCGATCGAGGACTGGGGGGTGCTCGGCCCCCACTTGGTCCGGGTCGCAGGTCTCTCACCAGCTCCAGCATCTCCTGCAGCTGGACCAGCATTTCCTGTGCGCAGTGTTTGCTCTGCCTCAGTTTCCCTATAGAGTGCTCGTAGGCCAGATGGCGGATCCTGGATGACAGGGAGGCCAGGCGGACGAGGTAGCCCTGCTGGTGTCTCTGCTCCTCCGTGGAGGCCGCCTCCGCCGCCTCGGCCTCCGCCACCGCCGGGCCCTGGGCCTCGGCCTCCAGAGCCTCTGGGGAGGAGCACAAGCAGGGGTCAGCATGGCCAGCCCTCCCCCTCTGTGCTCACCCTCAACTCCCCGTTCTTAACACCAGCTACGACTGGGAGCAGCAGCCTGCAGATGAGGGAAACTGAGGCACCGAGCTCAAATCCCACACGGTGCCTTGAGGAGACCCAGGGTTTGGACCCATAGCTATGCTGTGCCATTTAGACAGCCTCATGTGTGTGTGTGTGTGTGTGTGTGTGTGTGTGTGTGTATGTGTGTGTGTGGAAGACGGCTGTGGAAGTGGCTCCCTGTGGTGCTGTGTGGCCTTCTGCCTGTGGTAAACCTCTCTGGTCCCGCCCCACCCCCACCCCTCACCCATGGCTGCATGGGAAGGTATCAGGCCCTGGCCTCACCACTGGTCGCGGGCAGCAAGTGGTCCACCAGCTCCTCAGACTTGCCCAGCACCACGTCTAGGGCGTGGCTCACCGAGCGCCGAAGCTCCACGCTCCACCGCCGGCCCCGCTGGGCCAGGCCGGTCACCCCGCTGACCCCGCTGACCACCGTGTCCCTGGCCGAGGTCAGCACCTGGCGGGAAGTAGAGCCACTGCGGGTGCTGCAGGCCGGAGCCCTGCCAACCTCAGCTACCGGGGCCGGGCCCTAAAAGCCCCTTCCCGCCTCTGTGCCTCAGTTTCCCCTCTATCAAGTGATGGGGAGATAGAACCCTCCCCTGTGGGGGGGGGTACGTGTGGAGGCTGCCTCTGGCTGTTGATGTTTCTCTTTTCCTCTGAGGAGGGGCTTGGCCCCCTCCCCTGCCTAGACTTGGGGGGTGACCCCTCCGCGGGGTCCCCACCAGCTGGTCATCCCGGTACCGTGTCCGAAGGTTGCTGGAGGAAGGGCAGCTTCTCCTCCAGCTTGTCCAGGCCTCTGCAGGCCAGGTGGTTCACTGTGGATACTGGGGAGAGAAGGGAAGTTGGGGGTACATGGGGTGATTGGAGGGAGGGAGGGAGTGGGGGGCTAGAGAGGCGACACCCCAGCCCCGGCCATGGACAGCGGTCCCCAGAGGTGGGCCAGTCTTCGGAGGACCCCCGCCCCCATTTTCCAGCAGCTACAGAGAAGCTGGACACACAGCAGGGCCATGCGGGGGGCAGGGAGCCCGGGGCCTCCCCTCCATACGCTGTTCCCTGGTGATCCTGACCCCCCAGAGCCTGCCCTGCCCCTGCCTCTGCCCTGCTGCCCAGCTCAGCCTCCAAGGTGACCCCCCCCAGCCCCACCCAGATCCGATGACCTCAGGGAAGCTCAAGGTCCCAGGAGCCACTGGGAAGGGGCTGGAGGGGTCTCAGGTTGGAACTCTCGAGTGATTTGATTCCTCAATCAGACAGGAGCCCTGAACCTTCTTCCCCTCACCCAGCAGGCTAGACCCCTGAGCGAGTAGACAGGGCTAAGCTGTGGGGTTCAGGACTAGCATAAGAACGGGGGGGGGGGCACAAAGGGATCCAAGCGATGTTGGACCAAAGGAGGGAGGCAGGCTGGGAAGGTGGCTCAGTGGTAGCGCGCTTGCCTAACATGCAGAAGCCCTGGGTTCCATCCCTCAGCACCACATACACAGAAATAGCTGGAAGTGGCTCAGGTGGTAGAGTGCTCGCCTTGAGCCAAAGAAGCTCAGGGACAGTGCCCAGGCTCTGAGTTCAAGCCCCAGGGCTGGAAAAAAGAAAAGGTGGGTGGGGGGAGGCAGAAGGGAGAGGACCAGAGAAGAGAGGCCACAGTTCAGCAGGTGACGGCGTAAGGCCAGCTGAGCAGATTTAAAGAGGTGCATGACAAGGAAAGAGATGGAGGTGTCCAGGGTGGGGTGGGGGTGGGGTGTCTGCAGGAGGGCACACAGGAAGTACAATTATGGGAGGGGTCCGGTCATGGGGTCTGAACTCTGGGCCTGGGCGCTGTCCCTCAGCTCTTCAGCTCAAGGCCAGCGCTCTACCACTTGAGCCACAGCGCCACTTCCGGCTTTTTTCTTTTTGCTTATGTGGTGCTGAGGAATTGAACCCAGGGCCTCAGGCATGCAAGGCAAGCGCTCTACCACTGAGCCACCTTCCCAGCCCCAGGAAGTAGATTAAAGATAGTTGTATCCTGTAATCCCAGCTACTCCGGAGGCAAAGATCGAGAGGATCAAGGTGCAAGGCCAGCCCAGACAAAAAGCTCCCCATCTCCACCAACAAGCGGGTGTGTGGTAGGCTACAGCTATCATCCCAGCTATTATGAGGAGATGTAGGTGGGAGGAGCTCTGTTCTTTCCCAGGCCAAGCCCTGGGCAAAACAAAAACAGCAGACTTTGTCCCCAAAATAACGACGGCAAAAAGGGCTGGGGCACGTGGCTCAAGTGGTAAAGCACCTGGCACAGTAAGTGTAAGGTCCAGAGCTGGAATCCCAGCGAGAAGGGTGGACAGGAGGATGGGCTGAGGTCATACTGGGCAGCAAGGGGGGGGGTGACCCAGGAACACAAGCTGGGGACTCACGCTGGGGCTGCAGGTGGTCAAGCAGCGGCTGGGCATGGTCTAGTGCTCTGGTGGTGACACCGCACACGCAGTGCTCAGCCAGGCGGCAGGCAGAGCCCAGCACCCAGTGCCGGTCCTTGGTGGAGCAGTAGGCATCAGAGACGGCCCTGACCAGGGGCAGGGCTGCCACACGCTGTACCACGTTCTGTGGGAGGGAGTGGGTATCAGAGAGGTACCTGGGGGAGGCAGGGGGTGGCTTGGAGGCCCCCAAGCCTGCTGGTCCTCTCTCCCAGCCAGATGTGTGGGGAGGAATGGAGGAGTTAGGGAGATGCACACAGAAGGATTGCGGGGGGCATACTGGCTGTCAGTCGTGTGCACAAGGTTAAAAGTTTTGACATGAAAGCTGGACGCCGGTGGCTCATGCCTAGCTACTCAGGAGGCTGAGATCTGAGGATCATGGTTCAAGGACAACCTGGGTAGAAAAGGCCCTGTTGAGACCCTCATCTCCAATTAAACAAAACAAAAATTGGAAGTGGAGCTGTGGCTCAAACTGGTAAAGTGCTGTCCTTGAGCAAGAGCTCAGGGACAACATCCAGGCCCTTGAGTTCAAACCCCACAACCAACAGAAAAAAAAAAAAGGGTCTAGGAAGATGGCTTAGTAGTAGAGCGCTTGCCTTGCATGCATGAGGCCCTGGGTTCGATTCTTCAACAACCACATAAGCAAAAAGAAAAAAGCCAGAAGCGGCGCTGTGGCTCAAGTGGTAGAGCGCTAGCCTTGAGCTGAAGAGCTGAGGGACAGCGCCCAGGCCCAGAGTTCAGGCCCCACAACTGGACCCCCCCCCCCAAAAAAAAGTTCAGATATAAAATCAGGCACCTGTAGCTCACACCTGTAATGCTAGTCAGGAGGCTGAGATCTGAGAATCAGGGTTCAAAGCCAGCCTGGGCAGGAAAGTCTCTGAGACTCTTATCTCCAATGAACCACCAAAAAAACAAACAAACAAACAAAAAAACAACAACAACAAAAGCCCAAAGTGGCTCTGTGGCTCAGCACTGGCCTTGAATGAGAAAGCTCAGAGACAGCACTCAGACTCTGAGTTCAAGCCACAGACGGACAGACAGCAGACAGACAGACAGACACACACACACACACACACACACACACACACCCCACACACTGTGACGTGATTGCTCGGATGGGACATCAGAATCGATGGATCTAGAATGCAGCTTCTAGACACGGTGGCCGGGGGTGGACTCTGCTTGGGCTCTCTGTCCCAGCCCTGGGACATGTCAGAATCACAGGTGGACCCGGGGCCGCCTGGCTGGAAGCTGTGCCATGGGGGGGGAGGGGGGGTCACTCACCTGCTGCTCCTGCTCCGAGCTGGGTCTGGGGTCCTGCGTGGCCGCCGCGTGGTCAGACATGGTAGACACGCAGGGTGAGCCTGCGGGGAGGAGACCCTAGCGAGCCACCCTTCCACCCGCCCCTGAGACCCCCAAGGGGGGGACTTCAGCGGCTGGGGGGGACTTCAGCGCCTGGGGGGGGACTTCAGCACGTGGGGGGGACTTCAGCACGTGGGGGGGGACTTCAGCACGTGGGGGGGACTTCAGCGCCTGGGGGGGACTTCAGCGCCTGGGGGGGGACTTCAGCACGTGGGGGGGACTTCAGCGCCTGGGGGGACTTCAGCGGCTGGGGGGGGACCTCAGCGCGTGGGGGGGACTTCAGCGGCTGGGGGGACTTCAGCGCGTGGGGGGGACTTCAGCACGTGGGGGGGACTTCAGCGCCTGGGGGGGACTTCAGCGCCTGGGGGGGACTTCAGCGCCTGGGGGGGACTTCAGCACGTGGGGGGGACTTCAGCACGTGGGGGGGACTTCAGCACGTGGGGGGGACTTCAGCACGTGGGGGGGACCTCAGCGCCTGGGGGGACTTCAGCGGCTGGGGGGCTCTCTGACACGGTTGAGGGTTGACCCCTGTCTCCCCCTTGCCCTGCTGTGTGAGTCTGGGGACACGCCTTCGCCCCTCTGGGCTGTGTCCCCTGGTGTCTGGGCACGGGCCTCCACGCGTGGGGAGCTGCAGACCCCGGGCAGCCCCACTTGGATGGGCAGGGAAACTGAGGCACGCGGCCAGCCCGGCCGCTGGGCCCAAGGTCACCCGGCCCGGCGGGGCGAGGGGCGGGGGACGGGCCGCCCTCGGAGCCCTGGGCTCGCCCCGCCGCGGCCTGAACCCCGGCCAACTGGGACAAGGGTCCCGGCCACCTGCTCGGGCCCAGCGCGCCCCGCGCGGGACCCGCGCCCAGCCAACCCGCGGCGGGGCCCCGGCGCCCCCCGCCCCGCACTCACCGGCGGCCCCCGCGCGCCTGCGCCCCGCGGACCCCACGCCTGGCCGCCGCGTCTCCGCCCCCCGCGCTGGCGGGGAAGCCCGCCTTATAATGCATCGGGTGGGGGAGAGGGCGGGAACCTTTTCGAGGACTGACCAATGAGAGGAAGGCTCCGGAGGGGGTGTGTTCCCGGTGGGCGGAGCTTTAGGGTCCTGCCCGGCTGGGTCCTGGCTCTGCGGTTTCCATAGCAACCCGGAGACGCTCGATGCCCCAGGACTGAGCTACTCGATGTGAATGACTCCCCAGGCAGCGCCCCCCCCCCCAACGCCTGGCCGAACGACCCTGGGCAAGTCACTTTCCACACACACACACACACACACACACACACACACACACACACACACACACACACTCTTTTTTTTGTCTTTTGTGCCTGTCCTGGGGCTTGAACTCAGGGCCTGGGCGCTGTCCCTGAGCTTCTTTGGCTCAAGGCTAGCGCTCTACCACTTGCACCACAGCGCCACTTCTGGCTTTTTCTGTGTATGTGGTACTGAGGAATCAAACCCAGGGCTTCATGCATGCTAGGCAAGCACTCGACCACTGAGCCACCTTCCCAGCCCTGTATTTGTTTTTTGTTTTTTTGTCGGTTGTGGGGCTTGAACTGTGGGCCTGGGCACCATCCCTCAGCTCTTCAGCTCAAGGCAGGCGGGCGCTCTACCACTTTAAGCCACAGCTCCATTTCCAATTTTCTGGTGATTCCTTGGAGATAAGAGTTTCATGGACTTTCCTGCCAGGGCTGGCTTTGAACTGTGATCCTCCGAGCTCAGCCTCCTGAGTAGCTGGGATGACAGGCGTGAGCCACCAATGCCTGGCTTCTTTCCTCTCGTAAATCTGCTATTGAAAGCCAGGAGCCAGCCCAGCCCTTTCTCTCATTTTTACAAATGAGCAAAATAGAGTTCAAATGCTACCCAGAAGGCTGAGATCTGCAGGATCAGGGTTCAAGGCCAGCCCAAGCAGAAAATTTCTAGGGGTTCCCCCCGAACTCCAAAATAACCAGTGAAAAGCTGGACTGGAGGTGTTGCTCCGGTGGTAAAACATTTAGCCATGAACAAGGAAGCCCAATGAGCACCAGGCTTTGAGTTCAAATCCCAGTACCCCTGTCCCTCCACAAAACCTGAAACCAGTTGTCCTGTCTTTGTAACTATCTAATACGAATCCAGCTTGATCGTCTCCAGACCACAGGCTTTTGACCTGGACATAACATAATCCTTTTTTTTAGGGGGCTGAACCTAGGCAACCCCCAAACAACTCAGAGTCCCCAAAACCTCACTCCAGCCTCCCATGCCCAACTCTGCATGGACAAGGGTTCCCAGATCTGAGCTGTGAGGACTCAACCCCCCAGTTCCGCCCAGGCCTTCGGCTCCCTCCAGCCCCTGGGGTGTACCCTGAGCAGGCACCCTGGGCCAGAGCAGCCCAATGTGACACGGCGGAGACCTGCCTGTGCGATCTGGGACACAAGGGCTGGCAGGAGTCCACAGGGAAAATGACACCCGGCAATGAGCAGGGTTTTATTTCCAGCTCAGCCCCAGGATGGTGGGGGGAGAGGGAGGAAGGAGGGAGGGAGGGAAGGAGCCAATGACAACCCATCCTAAGGACAAGCCATCTACTTGGGAACATTGAAGGCTTTTGGGTCTCAACTCCTCGTCCCTCCTCTGATGCCTGCCTTTCTTCTTTCCTTTTTTTTCCTCTGTGTGTGTGTGTGTGTGTGTGTGTGTGTGTGTGTGTGTGTGTGTGTGTGTGTGTGCTGGTCCCAGGGCTTGAACTAACTCAGGCTGGTACTGTACCCCTTGAGCCACAGCTCCACTTCCAGCTTTTTGCTGGTTCTTTGGTGATAAGCTTTGAACCTTGGTCCTCCATTCTCGGCCTCCTGAGTAGCTACGATGATAGGTATGAGCTGCTGGCACTGGACCATGCCTACTTTCAAGATGAAGCCACATCTGGACACAGACCAGTTAGATTTTGTTCCATAGTTATTTATTAACCATCTGGGGCAGAGTCTACTGAGAGGAATCAGGGTTCCAGGCTTAGCCCTCCCAGAGTCCCCAGGACATGAAGGTAGATTAAAAAACAAACATGCCAGGCACTGGTGGCTCACGCCTATCATCCTAGCTACTCAGGAGGCTGAGATCTGAGGTTCACAGTTCAAAGCCAGCCTGGGCAACGAAGTCCGTGAGACTCTTATCTCTAAAAAAACCACCAGAAAACCAGAAGTGGCGCTGTGGCTCAAGTGGTAGAGTGCTCGCCTTGAGCTGAAGAGCCAAGGGACAGCGCCCAGGCCCAGAGTTCAGGCCCCAGGACTGACAGAAAACAAACAAACAAAAACACCTCCCTGGTGTGGCCAGGACTCAGCCAGCGGGAGGGACGAAGGAGCTGGGGGGCAACCAGGGGACAAAAGATGGAAAATGGCAGGCAGGAAAAGAAGCCCTAGCCAGAGAATAAACACACAGGGGACTGGGCAGCCAGGGGCAGGTTTGGGGAGTTTGGCTGACAGGGGACCCCAGGAGCAGTGGGAGACTGGAATCAGGCCCTTGAAGGAAGCAAAGGGGGGGGTTGACGTGCTACATGGGGTTCTCCCACGCCCACCCCAGCTCCAGGCCTCCCTGGGAGCTGGCCCCCTCCAGGAGTGGCTTTCCCTTCAAGGCCTCCGGCTGGGCACACCGTGTGTCCTCTCTGGAGAACATCTTGTGTTGATTGTCCAGCAGCCAGAGGTAGAAGTCATGCAGGTTGGGGCCACAGAGCCAGGGGTTGTGGGAGAAGTCGAAGCCGTCTTCCATGTCCCGGGCTGCCGGCCTCCCTAGGGGCGCGCAGAGCCCTCTGGGAAGGCTGCTCAGTGAGTTATTGGACAGATCTAACATGTCCAGCCCTTTCAGGCCTCGGAAGAGTCCTGCCTCCAGGGAGGCCAGCCTGTTTTCCTGGAGGAAAAGGGACCGCAGGCCGGGCTGGGGCCACAGCAGATCCTCCGCCAGGGCGCGCAACCGGTTCCTCTCCAGGTGCAGGCGCTCCAAAGCCAGCGGCCCCCGCAGGAGGCCGGGTGGCAAGGTCTCCAGCTGGTTGTCCCCAAGGTCAAGCGTGCGCAGGGCGGACAGATTGGCCAGCAGCCCGGGCGGCAGAGCCCGGAGGCCGTTCCCGGACAGATCCAGGAAGCTGAGTGCCTTCAGGCCCTGCAGCCAAGAGGCCTGTAGGCCTCGCAACTGATTTTCCTTCAACACCAGGGTGTGGAGGGCAGAGGCCTGGTGGAAGAGCCCCTCGGGGAGGCTGCACAGGGCGTTGCGGGTGAGATCCAGCACCTGCAGCGCAGGCACGGGCTGCAGGAGCTCGGCCTCCAAGGCCTCCAGTTGGTTGCTAGAGAGATGCAACTCCTGCAGGCCTCGAACCCCCTGCAGGGCGGCGGCCGGCAGCGAGGTGAGGTTGGAGAACTCCACAGCCAGGTGGAAGGTGTCAGCAGGGAGATCGCTGGGGAATCTGGCCGGGGAGAAGCAGGAGACGGTGCTGCCGTTGGCGGACGACACGATGAGGCACTCTTTGGGGCTGGGAAGGGCGCCCTGTGCCCAGGCCACAGACAGTGCAAGGAGAAACAGGGTTCGGGAGGGATGCCAGCCCTCAGGGCTGCAGGAGAGAGATGTTTAATGAGCTTATTCAGTAGGCCCGTGCACGCACATACACACACTCACACACACACACACACACATACACGTGTGCACACACATGCAAGCCATACTCCCTTCACCTCCTACTTTTTTTTCTTTCTTTTTTGTTTGGTGTCAGTCTTGGGGCTTGAACCCAGAGCCTAGGTGCTGTCCCTGAGCTTTTTTGCTCAAGGCTGCTGCTCTACCATTTGAGCCACAGCTGCTCCAGTTTTGGGTGGTTAATTGAAGATAGAAGTCTCCTTGGGGCAGGGCGGGGAAGGCTGGGAAGGTGGCTCAGTGGCAGAGTGCTTGCCTAGCAGGCACGAAGCCCTGGGTTTGATTCCTCGGTTCCACATACACAGAGAACCTGGAAGTGGTGCTGTGGCTCACACCTGTAATCCTAGCGACTCAGTAGGCTGCGATCTGAGGATCGTGATTGGAAGCCAGCCCAGGCATGAAACTCTGTGAGACTTTTTTTTTTTTTTGGTCGGTCATGGGGCTTGAACTCTGGGCCTGGGCGCTGTCCCTCAGCTCTTCAGCTCAAGGCGAGCGCTCTACCACTTGAGCTACAGCGCCACTTCCGGTTTTCTGGTGGTTTATTGGAGATAGGAGTCTCAAGGTCTCTCCTGCCCGGGCTGGCTTTGAACCGCGATCCTCAGATCCATGAGATTCTTATCTCCAATAAACTACTCCAAAAGGCCAGAAGTGATGCTGTGGCTCTAGTGGTAGAGCGCTAGCCATAAGCAGAAAAGCTCAGAGACAGCGCCCAGGCCCTGAGTTTAATCCCCAGTACAGCTGAGAGCGGGGAGGAAGGAAGGAAGGAAAAAAGGAACGCAAGGAGGGAGGGAGGGAGGGAAAGAAGGAGGTGTGGGAGAGAGCTCTGGCTTTGAGCAGCAGCAGGCAGGGCAGGTTTGGGGGAAGGGGAGGGGGTGGAATCTGGGCTTTCCCATGTCTCCCATGAAACCCCAGGTCACTAGGACCACAGAGTCCCTGGGAGGAATCCTCTCCCATGCGCCTCTTGGGTGTGAATGTATGCGCGTGCGTGCGTGGGCCGTGGCCGGCGCTGGCCAGCCTTGCCTGCTGGCCTCTATCTGTCCCTGCTCCTTCTGGAGGGAGGGCATGGAATGTCCCGGTGGCTCTGTGAGGCCCGCCCTTCCCCGATGGACAGGGTGTCCGGAGGTGTGGGGGAGGGGGGCTGGGAACCTACCTCTGCTCTGGGCTGTAGGACAACATGCTGCGTCTTCTCAGGCCTCCCCGAGCTGCTGGGGGTGGGGGGCCTGGGACTGGCAGCCTTATACCTGCCGGGACTGGGGGGAGGGAGGGTCAACGAGGAAGTCTCCACCCCATTCCTGAGCCACAGCCGGGGTTGCAACACTGCTTCCTGGCAAAGCTTTCTGCCTACTCCTTCTTGGGTCTCTAAGCCCAGTTTGTTACCTTTTATTATTTTTGTGTTTTTTTTTTTTTTGGGGGGGGGGCACCTGAATGTCTCCTGGGCTGAGTCTCCACTTCCCAAATCCCAGAAGTCAAAGGTCAAAGGTGCAGGGCAGGAGGGGAGGAGGGCAGAAGTGTTACTTACTGGAACAATCCAGAAGCTCATTAACAAAGTTTTGTGGCCGGGCGCTGGTGGCTCACGCCTGTCATCCTAGCTACTCAGGAGGCTGAGATCTGAGGATCGCGGTTCAAAGCCAGCTTGGGCAGGAGTGTCCCTGAGATTCTTTTTTTTTTTGGGGGGGGGGTCCGGTCGTGGGGCCTGAACTCTGGGCTTGGGCGCTGTCCCTCAGCTCTTCAACTCAAGGCTAGCGCTCTACCACTTGAGCCACAGCGCCACTTCCAGCTTTTTTTCTTTTCGCTTATGTGGTGCTGAGGAGTCGAACCCAGGGCCTCAGGCGTGCAAGGCAAGTGCTCTACCACTGAGCCATCTTCCCAGCCCAGTCCCTGAGATTCTTATCTCCAATAAAACCACTAGAAAACCAGAAGTGGCGCTCTGGCTGAAGTCGTAGGGCGCTAGCCTTGAGCTGAAGAGCACAGGGACAGCGCCCAGGCCCTGAGTTCAAGATCCACAACTGACAAAACCCAAAAATAGCTATTTTTGGGAGAAGAGCAGTGCTGAGGTTTAAACTTGGGATCTCATGCTTGCTAGATAGGTGCTCTATCACTTGAACCACATTCCCAGTCCCCCCTTTTTTTTTTTTGCTTTAGTAGTTTTCTGGTAGTACCTCCTGTTTTGCCTAGAACAACATTGGACAGAAATCTTCTAGCTCTCCACCTCCTGATTATCTCAGATTATAGGTAGGAACCACAATGCTGAACTAGAAATTTTTTTTTTGTTTTTTTGCCAGTCCTGGGGTTTGAACTCAGGGCCTGGGCACTGTCCCTGACCTTCTTTTGCTCAAGCCTAGCACTCTACTACTTGAGCCACAGCACCACTTAAGGCTTTTTCTGTGTATATGGTACTGAGGAATCGAACCTAGGGCTTCATGCTTGCTAGGCAAACACTCTACCACTAACCTCATTCCCAGCCCCTAGAAACAGCATTTTTAAAAACATTTCTAAACTGGGCATCAGTGGTTCACACCTATCATCCTAGTTTACTGAGCAGACTTAGATTTAGAGAGTCTCAGTTCAAAACCACCCCAAGCAGAAACATTCATGAGATTTTTTTTTTTTTTGTCGGTCGTGGGGCTTGAACTCTGGGCCTGGGCGCTGTCCCTCAGCTCTTCAGCTCAAGGCGAGCGCTCTACCACTTGAGCTATAGTGCCACTTCCGGTTTCCTGGTGGTTTATTGGAGATAGGAGTCTCACGGTCTTTCCTGCCCGGGCTGGCTTTGAACCGCGATCCTCAGATCTCAGCCTCCTGAGTAGCTAGGATTACAGGCGTGAGCCACCAGCGCCTGGCCATCCATGAGATTTTACCTACCATTATTAAAAAAAAAAAAAATAGATGAAGATGTTGCTCAAGTGGTAGAGCACCAGCCTTGACAACCAAGTGAACAGGAGGACTAAATTCGAGCTCTGTCCTGGGGCTGGGAAGGTGGCTCAGTGGTAGAGTGCTTGCCTTGCATGCATGAGGCCCTGGGTTCGATTCCTCAGCACTACATAAGCAAAAGGTTGGGTAGTACTATGTCTATTTGCAGCTACTCATTTCTGGTAACATACATCTTTCAACTTTTTTTTTTTTGCCAGTCCTAGGGCTTGAACTCAGGGCCTGGGCGCTGTCCCTGAGCTTCTTTTACTCAAGGCTAGCACTCTACCACTTGAACCACAGCGCCACTTCCAGCTTTTTCTGTGTATGTGGTACTGAGGAATCGAACCCAGGGCTTTGTGCAGGCCAGTACTCCCCCACTAAGCCACATTCCCAGCCCTTTTTTTTTTTTTTTTGGTATTGGGGCTTGAACTCAGGGCCTGGCTGCTGTCCCTCAGCTCTTCAGCTCAAGGCTAGTGCTCTATCACTTGAGCCACAGCGCCACTTCCAATGTTTTTCTGGTAGTTAATTAGAGATAAGAGTCTTATGGACTTTCCTGCCCAGGCTGGCTTTGAGCTGAGATCCTCAGATCTCAGCCTCCTGAGTAACTAGGATGACAGGTCTGAGCCAAGGACACCCAGCTCCCTGAGGTTTTTTGCTCAAGGTTTGCCCTCTACTGCCACGCCACATACACTTGGTTGAAACTTTTGGAATGAAAGGTTCTGGACAGGAGTGGAGCCTGGCATAGACTCAAGCCCCAGGCATCCCCTAGGAGTTGGTGGAGAACTGGATTCCCTAAAAAAGACAATCTGGTCAGACTTAACCCGTTGTTCTCTGAGAAAGAGAAGTTCCAGTGTGACTGCTGCTCACCACAGTGACCCAGGGCCCAGTGGCAGGATGCCTGCCCTGTGCCCTGACAAGTCCCACCTGGGAGAGCGTCTGTCCTGCCTCCAGGCCAGTTCAGGCCTGCCATTGTATACAATAACTCTTGTTTCCTCCTCTAACAAGCAGCTCAGTATCCAACCACCATGGGAACCCAGTCCGAGAGGCACAATGGAGAGGAAGCTGCCGAAGCAAGCGTTTGGAAAGGAGCAGAGATCACAGCAGGCAAAGCAGTCATGAAGATGTGTCTGCAAGGAGTCCTTAGCTGGGTTCAGCAAAGAGAGGCCGGCGCAGGTGGGCGGATCACTTCCATAAAGCTGCCTGTGGTGGATAGATGGCTTCTGATTTGACATCGACAACAGAATAAGGGACTACAAGTTCAATAAATAGTCTCTGGCCAGAGAAACAAGGTCAAACGCTTAAGTTTCTTCACTTCCAGTGGTTCCTGGTATTTCCAGCTGAGTGGACATCTTTCTGTGACCTGTGGGTGCCACGTCACCTTCTGCGGAGTCTGCGTGAGAGATCGCGTTGGACAAAGAGCTTCAAGGAAGCATGCCCCCAGGAAGCGGGTGTTGGTTCAAGGCTTCCCATACACTTGGCTGCACCTTTATAGCCTCTACCTTTATTCTTACTATATTCTTCTTGGCTGTACATTCGTTGCCTTTTTTTTTTTTTTTTTGGTCGGCCGTGGGGCTTGAACTCTGGGCCTGGGCGCTGTCCCTCAGCTCTTCAGCTCAAGGCGAGCGCTCTACCATTTGAGCTACAGCGCCACTTCCGGTTTTCTGGTGGTTTATTGGAGATAGGAGTCTCACGGTCTTTCCTGCCCAGGCTGGCTTTGAACCGCGATCCTCAGATCTCAGCCTCCTGAGTAGCTAGGATTACAGGCGTGAGCCACCAGCGCCCGGCTTCGTTGCCTTTATTCTCGTTTTGGCTAACAGAGCATGTTGTATCTTTCCAATCCAATAGAGACGGCTTCTCTTAAGTAATAAAGACTAAGGCCAAAGATTAAATGTGGGCAATGCCCCAATCAATCTATCATCTGATGTGACGTTGCCTCCAGAAACTCCTACAACTTCACAAGCGGTTTTGCAGCTCACGCATAGTAAATATAGAGACTTAAAATTTCTAGATATGTCCAGCAGACAAAATCAATGAACTAAACTAAGTTAGAAAGAGTTATCCCAGTAGTTTAGAGAGTTCTAAAAAAGAAGGGACCTCTGATTATAAAAGAAAAAGAAAGATTCTCCCAACAGTTATGATTAAGTTTAGTCCAACTTACGTTATAGGGAATAGATGGTGTTTTCATACAAAATATAAAGTTAGTAACATATTTCCTGAACCAACCAAGAACCATTTCCTTGTACAGGAGCTTATAAAGATGAAATTAGTTGGATAAAAATAACATTAAAAAGAGTACAATGTAAGTACAGCCCTGTCTTAGGTTTGTTAATTATTAAACATAAAAAGGCTGAATAGATGACGCATTCTATTAAACAATATGCTAGACTTGTTTCGCACCACTTAGCTTAAACAGTTGGTGGGATAGTCATCAATTTTCATGTAATTCATCAATGCTTTGCCTTTAAAAAAATTGATTACATGCTTAAATAAACAAAGAACCTATGTCACACACACTGTATAAAAATGTTAATTCTCCTCAATAAAGATACACTCAGATGCAACTCTTTTGAGTCTGTGTCTGTTTGTCACTTCGCTGACTCCTTGCCCACCTATCCCGAGATCCCTGTCCCGTCGGTCCCAGTGCTCCGGCCGGGCTGGTCCGTCGCACTCTACCACTGGAGCCACAGCTCCACTTCAACATTTCTAATGCTTCTGTGTGCCAGATCTAACATACTCCAGAAGAGAAAGCAAGAATCCAAAAAACAAAACCAAAAAAACCCCTTGTCTTCAATGGGCTACATCACTATTGTTTCCCTACAACAATGGCTCAGGAAGAAACAATCATGAATCCAAGCTCTGCGATGAATTCCATTCTGTTGCTCTGGGAACTTAAGCCAATAGCTCAGACTCAGTTTCCCCATGAATGCAGCTGGATTTGGTCTCCCAGACCCTCTTTTGCTGTTTTATTTTGTTATTGATGATTATTTCTTCCTTTTTATATGCTTTTTTGTTGTTGTTGTTGGTCGTGGGGCCTGAACTCTGGGCCTGGGCGCTGCCCCTCAGCTCTTCAGCTCAAGGAGAGCATTCTACCACTTGAGCCACAGCACCACTTCCAGGTTTTTCTGCTTATGTGGTGCTGAGGAACCGAACCCAGGGCCTCATGCATGCAAGGCAAGCGCTCTACCACTGAGCCACCTTCCCAGCCCCTCTTTTATAAGGAGTTTGAATTTAGGGCTTGTGCGCTGTCCCTGAGCTTTTCTGCTCAAGGCTAGCACTCTACTACTGAGCCACAGCTCCACTTCTGGCTTTTTACTGGTTAACTGGAGATAAGAATCTCACAGATTTATCTGCCCCAGCTGGCTTTGAAGCAGGATCTTCACACTGTGATCCTCTGGTTGTCAGAACACAGCCACAGGGCTGGGAAGGTGGCTCAGTGGTAGAGCGCTTGCCTTGCATGCTCGAGGCCCTGGGTTCGATTCCTCAGCACCACATAAGCAAAAAGAAAAAAGCCGGAAGTGGCGCTGTAGCTCAAGTGGTAGAGTGCTAGCCTTGAGCTGAAGAGCTGAGGGACAGTGCCCAGGCCCAGAGTTCAGGCCCCACGACTGGACCCCCCCCAAAAAGAAAAAAAAAAAAAGAACACAGCCACAGGCCAGCTCGCAGAGGGCCAAGTAACTAACACTAGGTGGACGGAAGGGCTGGGAAATGGATCCACAACACCTAAACCACCTCTCTAGTGAAATCTGACCGCATGCTGGGCTTACAGCCCCACAGCTTCCTGTCCGTTCTACTTGCTCAAGGCCTGGAGCAGGAAGAACAGAGTTGTTGTAAAGGGGAGACTTGGGTTGGGGAAAGAGACAGTTCTGCAGTTGCATGGATTTTCTTATATATAATTTACTAAAATAAATAAATGCCTCTGCTTATTTGTAAGGCCCTGTTTCTCCTCACACCCATCTCTTCGAAGTTAGCCCCAGGCCTCAGGGCCCTTGCACAGGCTACTGTCCCTTACTTCTCCGTCTAGAGATTTCCCCACCACCACCATCCCCAAACCTCTCACCAGGTACCCTTGTGTCTTCTTTCCTTACACAATCTGTGTATGTGCCAGTCTTGTGGTTTGAACTCAGGGCCTGGGTGCTGTTCCTGAGCTGTTTTTTTTTAGGCTCCAGGCTAGCACCCTACCATTTGATCCACAGCTTCACCATGTCCACTATGGGTTGAGAAGAAGGTTCCACGGATTTTTCTGCTTAAGATGGTCTGGAACCTCGATCCTCCCACTTTGTTCCCCAAGGTGCTAGGATGACCAGTGTGAGCCACTGGAGCCTGTCTTTTCCTCTGTTTTGTTTGCTATTGCGATGAGGCTCATGGCTAGCGCAAGTTGGCCTTCTACTCTTGATCCTCCTGCTTCAGCCTCCCAGGTGCTGGAGTTGTAGGGTGAACACCCGCATAGCTGGCCATCAAATCGATTTTAATTGACTAGAAAGCTCTAGGTTCCCCTAGACCAGGTTGTGAACCCTGTAAGGGGGGAGGGAAGGGCCTCCTCAGTCCCTGGGGTGCCACACAGGTGTATACCAGCATCATTCCCAGATCCTTCCCTCCCACAAGTGACACCCAACTCCCTAGATTTTTTTTTTTGGCCATGGGGCCTGAATTCTGGGCCTGGGCGCTGTCCCTCAGCTCTTCAGCTCAAGGCGAGCACTCTACCACTTGAGCCACAGCGCCACACTCGTTTTCTTGTGGTTTATTGGAGATTGAGTCTCACACTTTCCTGCCTGGGCTGGCTTTGAACGGTGATCCTCAGATCTCAGCCTCCTGAGTAGCTAAGATTGTATGTGAGCCACTGACACCAGGATCCTAGATTATTTTTTTCCTCTTTTGGAACTGGAGATGGAACCCAGGACATTGCACTTGCTAGGCAAGTGCTTTGCCACGGAGCTACACCCCAGCCTAATTGTTGGTTTTTGTGTGTTTAGCTTTTCAGTGACAGTGCTGGGGCTTCCATTCAAGTCTGGGGTGCTGTTCCTTAGCTTTTCTTCCTCTCAAGGCTGGCGCCCTACCACTTGAGCCACAGTTCCACTTCAGACTGGTTAACTGGAGGTCTGAGTGGTGTCTGGGACATTTCTTCCCCCGGGTGGGGGTGGGGGTGGGGGGCTGGCTTTGAACCTGGATCCTCAGACCTCAGCCTCCAGAGACTAGGATGACAGGAGTGAACTACTGGTATACCCAGGGTTTGGGGTGGGGGACCCTCATCTCCCTCCACCCCTCAGGCAACAGAGCAGAGGCGGAGTCTGGGGGGCCGGTGGTTGTAAACAGAGTTTTATTGAGGGGGAGGGGCTGGGGGGGCGGAGAGGATCCAGGGCTGGGCGGCCACGTGGCATGCTCGGCTGGCCGGCTGGCCCCAGCCGTCGGGGAGGTCACAAAGGGAGCGGGCGGAGGGGGGCCGGTCTGCCGCCCGGGGGGCTGCGAGCACAGGGGGTGGGGGCCGCCAAGTCTCCGCAGCACCCCTCAGGGCCCCCCAGCTCCACCAGCCCTTCCAGCAGCGGCTGCCCAGGGTGACACCCGGCAGGCCCCCTCCTCCTCCGCGTCTCCCTGAACCCTGACCCGCCCCCCTCCGCTCCTCTAGGGGAGGGGGGGAGGAACTCAAGCTCCAATCCGGCACCCCAGAAGCCCCAGGCTTTCTGGAAGCCCCAATATCGGCTCAGCCAATGCTGGGGAGCCCCCCTCCCCCCAGCTCGGGTCCCACGCTCGTCACACTTGGGCCACCAGGCGGCCTCGCACGCACGCACGCCTCCCGCGGCCCCTTGCACACGACACAGCATGCACACGCACACGCACGCACACGCGCACACACACGCACACGCAGGGCCGGGGGAGCCTGGCGGGCGGGGCGGGGGCGCGGGTCTGCAGCGGTGCCCCGCGGCCGCCCCCCACGCCGAGGCCCCCCGCGCCCCCGGCCACCAACCCCGAGAACGGAGTTGTGCAATTAGTTACAAAAAAAAACAAACGCCAAAGCCGCCGCCGTGCGCGCGGGGTGCGGGGCGGCCTCCGTCCGCGGCCCCGATGCCCGCGCCCCCCCCGCGGCCCCCGGCGGGCACGGGCGGGGGAGCGGCTTGTGCTTGCGCGTGGCCGGGGTGGGGGCGCCCCCCACGCGGGTGGCCGGGCCGCCGGGCGCCCCCTCCGGCTCCCGGGTTGGCACCGCAGAGGCACGGGGGTTGGGGTGGGGGGGCGCCCCGCCTTAGGGCCCGGGGGGCGCAGTCCGGTCCCCCGCCCCATAGGGGAGGAGGTGGGCCAGGTCCGTGCTGGGCCGCGCGTGCGGGCGGCGGTGGCGGTCCCCGGGCCGGCCCTCGCCGCTGTTGAACGTGTGCGTGCGGCGCAGGGCGGCGGCCGGGGGCCCCGGCGGCCCGGGTCTCCGCAGGCTGCCGGTGGGCGGGGGGCTCCAGGGCCGCGCCAGGCCGTCGCCGGCCGAGGCTGGGTCCAAGGGCCCGGTGGGCGCCGACACCACCCGCCGGCGGTCCGGGCTGGGGTGCGGCGTGAGCGGGAAGTCGCCCCCGTGGGACGCGCGGCCCGATCGGGGGCCGCCCAGGCGGCCGTCGGGGCCCGGCTCGGCGGACGCGGGGGGCTGCTCGGGGGCCCGGGCCGGAGCCAGCAGCAGCAGCAGCGAGGACGAGGCGGAGGCGGGGAGCAGGGGGTGGGCCAGGTCCCAGGCGCGGGGCCCCAGCGCGTGCGGGTGCGGGTGCGGGGTGGGCAGGCGCTTCTGCGGCAGCGGCGTCTGCTCGGGCGTGGGCAGCAGCCCCGTGTCCAGGTCGTGCGGGCCCCCCTGCAGCAGCGTGGCCTTGGCCCAGCCGTTCTGCATGAGGGGCGCCAGCAGGGCCTCGGGGGGCACCCCCGGCCCGCCGCCGGCCCCGCCGCGGCCCCCGCCGCCCGCCGCCCGCCGCTCGCCCAGGCGGCTCACGCTCAGCACCGCCTCGCCGCCGCCGTGCGCCAGGATGGCCTCCTTGTCCTTGCGCCGCGCCAGCTCGCGCCGCTCGCGCAGCCCCACGAACCAGCCCACGCTGAAGCCCGACACCACGGCGCCCACCACGAACGCCGCCACCGACGACGTCACCAGCAGGTTCACCGACACCAGCCCCGCGCGCTCCTCCGACAGGCTGGCGCGCAGCAGTCCTGCGGGAGGGCGGGGAGGTGAGGGCCGAGGCGGGCTCTGGTCCCCGCCCCGCTCCCCCGGCGCTCGGCCCGGCCCGCCCTGGGAACGAGCCACGCCCCCTACGGCCTGAACCACGCCCCCACCACTAGTGCGTGGCTCCCCTCAGTCACGCCTCGACGCGCTAGCCACACCTCGACAGCCTGAGCCCCGCCCACACGCCCTTGCCACGCCCCCTGTCGCTGGAGTCACACCCCCCATCCTTGAAAGTGACCTGTTGAGCCCCGCCCCGCGCAAGCCCCGCCCCTGCAGCGAGTCCCGCCCACACGATTCCAGTCACGCCCCCTGTCATTGGAGTCTCAACCCTATCACTTGAATGTGGCCCACTCAGTGGAGCCACGCCCCCTACGCTCGAGCCACGCCCCTCCCACTTGCGTCACACCCATCGTTTGAGTCTTGCCCTGAGCCACGCCCCCTAGGTCTTGAGTGTGACCTCTATCATCTGAGCCACGCCCCCTACCGCTGGATCTAAACCCAGGCTTCTTGGGACTCTCATCACTTCTTCCATAGGGTCCTGGCACTTTTGCCGGAGGATTAAGATCCGTTTCTCCTCCTGCTGCCTCCTGGGAATGGCAGGTTGGAATCGCTGCACCTGGCTTATTAATTGTGTTGTGGGTCTCCAGAAAGCCGGGCTCTGACCCCAAGATCTCCCCAACCTCCACCTCCTGAATACCTGATTACAGAGGTAAGCCACCATGCCTGGCCCTAACTCTTTTGAATTCTGTGCTGAGAGTGGAACTCCAGGGCCTCGCACATCTGAAGCAAGAGCTCTCCCATTTGAGCCCACTCCTAATGTGACTGTCTATTCAAAGGCGTCCATCTGTCTGCTTAACAGCGCCTCTTGTCCCTTTGGGAGTCTGCTCAGTGCCCCTGCATTTTGGAATCTGCCTCTTCCTTCCTGTGCAAGTGGGACCCATGGAAGCTTAACCTGCAGCACGGCGGGGATGGGGGTCCCAGTCTAGCACTACCCCCCCCCACTACTCACCTGTGCAATCCCCTAAACCTGATGTGCTGGCCCCGGACACGTCCTGCTCAAAGGTGGCTCTAAGAGGGACAGAGGGACAGGGTCCTCACTCAGCCGAGTGGAGACCCTCGGGGGTCAGGGGTCAGATGCCAACCCTCTTCTTCTGTACCTGGTTCCTGGACTGAGGAAAATGCAAGAGCCGTCCGGGGCCCATCCACAGTAGGGGTCCTGGCTGCCGATACAGTTCCTAAAGGAGCAATCCAAAGTCACCTCAAGGGTCCCACTGTGCTCTGGGCCTTGCTGAGCTCACCCAGGAAGTTAACTGTAGACCAAGTTGCAGACCCGAGGCAAGCTGGCTTAGGATGTGGGGTCCCGATCTTTTTTTTTGGTGGGGGAGGCTCGGTGCTCACACCAAGCCCAGCAGTGCTCCCTCCACAGCCACCACCCGGATAGAGCTACAAACAGCCTCCATCCCATCCCTACCTCGTTCTCACTCCCAGAGCCCGTTCTCCCACGATGGCCCACTAGAGCATGCCTACGAGCAGAGTGCTTCGGCCCACAGCCCAAGACTTCCACCTCCCTCAGAGTCAAAGTCAAAGTCCATCCTGCAGCTCACAGGGTGCTGCACTACCTGTGCCATCCACCCATACCTTCTCCCTTTTCCCTCTCTGCCCCTAGCTCAGCCACATGGGCCTTCATGCTGCCCCAGGGCCTTGGCACGGGTTATTCCCTCCCCTTCTCTGTCACCTCCCTTCCTCCCCACCCAGGGCTGGCGGAGGGTGGGTGCGAGCACTCACTTCATGCACCCTGAGTACTGCTGACAGCGGGCCACAGGCACGCGCACCACGCAGCGAGGGAAGGCCGCCAGCAGGCCGCCCGAGGCCGCGTCCAGCTCCAGGCTCAGCAGGCGCTGCCCCGTCTCTCCACTGCTGCCGGGTCGTCCGCACCTGGGCACCCCAGACAAGGAGGAGTGAGCCCCGGGCTCTCCGCCTGCAGGCCCACCCTCCCCAGCCATGCCTGGCCTCACCTGTCCGGCCGGTAGGTCTCAAACTCCTCCAACAAGACACTGGGTCCCGCGGTCCCCGAGTGGCTGGCGTTGGGCCGGACGAGGAACTTGAGGACAGTGCCTACCTCAGAGCCCAGGAAGACCACCGTCTGGTTGCCCCAGGGCCCGGCGCCCACGTCCACGGCCACCCGGGTGAGCGGATGCCTGCGGGCGGAGAGAGGGGCGGGAGGGGGTGTCAGGTCGGCCTCTACTCTCTGAGGCCTCCTGGACACCGAGTCCACCCCCCCTGCGTGGTTACGTGAGTGCACGTGGACAAACGGGGCCCCCAGAGAGGTGAGCTGAGCTGAGCTGCATGTGAGCCCCGGTAGGAAGTTCACACTCGCCACCACACAGCCTGCGCCGGCCCCGCCCGGTTCCCTAGCCTGGACTTGGCCCACTGCTGGCACCTGCTCCTGTTCCGCCAGGCCCCGCCCCATTCAGACGAGGCCCCGCCCCACAAGCCTGGCCCACCCACCCAGGCCCCACCCACCTTCCAGCAGGCCCGCCCATGCCCGGCCCTTGCCCCTCAATCAGACCTGGCCCTGCCCCTAATGAAGCCCCACCCACCAGCGCCCGTGGGGGTGTGACCTGAGAAGTCTCCGCCCACCACAAGGTCCAGCCCCCATTTAGACAAGGCTCCTCCCCTTTCTCCATCTCTTGCTTGCTTGCTTTCGTTCTTTCTCGTTTGTCAGTTGTGGGTCTTGAACTCAGGGCCTGGGCACGGTACCTGAGCCTCTTTGCGCTCAAGGTGAGCGCTCTACCATTGGAGCAACCGCTCCACTTCTGGTTTTTGAGTGGTTAATTGGAGGTAAGTGGGGGCTTTTTCTGCCTGGGCTGGCTTTGAACTTCGATCCTCAGATGTTTCCTGATCAGCTAGGATTACAGGCGTGGGCCGCCAGCGCTTGGCATCTTCCCCCTGTACACGGCCCCTGCCCCACCCTTACTTAGACAACCCCTGGCCAGGGCTCAGAGCCACTGTCCACCCCAGGCCCCGCCCACAGCCCGGACCGCCTCAGGCTCCGCCCCACACGCCGATGGCACTAGACACTGGAAACATGGGGGCGTGGCTTAGCAAGGCCACGCCCACCACCCAGGACAGGTCTGCCCACACTTCCACAAGTCTCCCTCCCCGGTAGGCCCCTCCCCCCCGTCCCTCACAATGCCCACCCCTTAGCCCGGCCCCGCCCCCAGCGAGGCCCCGCCCACCAGCGCTGACCGCATCAGAGTGCGCACGATCCAGGGGGCGTGGCCCAGCGAAGGCACCGCCTCGTCCATCAGCGGGTGCGTCTTGACGAAGTTGAGGATGTCGTCGGGCAGCGCGCTGGACGCGTTGTACTGCGAGCCGGGCGCCGCGCAGCAGCCGGGCCTGGGGGGCATGAGGCCGGGGACCCACAAATGAGCCGTGGCCCCGGGGACCCTCCACTGGCCCCAGGTCGGGGGGGACACCTCTGTCCCCCCATGTTTGGGACGGGCTCGGCTGCTCTGGGCAGTGGCTGGCCGCCCCCGGGCCCCCGGCCCGCGCCGGGCCCTCACCTCGGCCTGGGCACCTGCTCTTCTGGCACCGGCGTCCAGATGGACTCTGGGGACTTCTGCTCGCGGAAGCGGCCTTCAAACACCGCGGCCACCTGGGTCATGTCGAAGGCACAGACCGCGGAGCCCGGGATGCTGCGGGGGGTCGGAGGTGAGCTTGTGGGGGGGCAGCACCATGGTCCCTGACCTCAGGGCTGCCTGCCAGGTGTTCCCTTCCCTGCACCAAAGATAGCCCCTTGTTCCGCCTCTCACCTGCCCAGGGCCCTGTCAGCTTCCTCCCGAACCACCCCATGTCCAGGCACCCATATGTGAATGTCCAGCCTCCCACGGCTACTTGGCTCACAAACCACTTATCAGGGGATGTTATGAAAACACAAACCTGACTTGGTCCCTCTCCTGCCCCTTGCTCCCCAGCTGCTCCTCCACCCACTGCCACCACATTCCCCCACTCCTGCCACACCAGCTACCTCACACAGACTTAAAACACCCAACTCAGCCTCAGGGCCTTTGCACATGCTACCTATCCTCCCAACTTGGAATGATCTGTCTTCTTCCATCTCACTTCACAGTCTGGTTCCATGTCTCTTCTCTCCCCCCCTACTCCTTTTCTGGAAGGTCCCTTTTCCTGAGGATGAAGTCCCACCTGCCTGTCTACTTCTGACCAAAGGAACTCAGAGAGTTTCTGCCCCCTTGTGGCCACTGGCTGACCTGTTGCTGGGAGTAGAGAAGACAGCTAGGATGACAGGCCGGCCCCCCAGGCTGACCACTCCGGTCACAGCCTGCAGCACGTTGAAGTAGAAGTGGGAGTCCCCTGGCACGGAGCAGTTGAGCCGCGCCTTCAGGAACGACGTCCACTGCTTCTCTAGCACACGCGGGGAGCCCCCCACATCGTTCTTGCACACTCGGGCCACGCGGGACACCACCACCTGGCCAGGATGGGGGTCAGAGGGCAACGTGAGTGTCACAGACCACACTGCCCACCATCTAGGCTGGGCTGACCTTCCCAAAGCCCCACAAAGGACAGTATCCTCACTGCACAAATAGGGAAACCAAGGCGCCACAAAGGGAGATGAGCAGGGCAAGGTTCCAGGAGTGGTAAGTGCACAAGTCTGCATTCATGGCTGAGGGGCTGAGGGACAGGTAGGGTGGGGGTGATGGAGAGCAGTGTGGGGGAGACAGCATTCAGGGTGCAGGGAGGGAGGACCTGAGGGAGGGAGGATGACAAGGAAACAAGGAGAGAGGTGGATGGATGGATGGATGGATGAGTAGAGGGTTGAATGGCTGGGTGGACAGCTTGATGGATGGATGGATTGAAGGTTTTAGGTGGGTAGATGATTGGATGGATGGGTAGATGGATGACGGATGGAAAGATGGATGGGTAGAGAGTTGGATGGCTGGGTGGACAGATTGATGGATGGATGGGTAGATGGATGGATTGAAGGCTTTAGGTGGGTATGTGACTGGATGGCTGGGTAGATGGGTGGATGGTGGGTGGGTGGACAGATGTATGGACCGATGAAATAGATGATTGGATGGCTGGATGAGTAGAGGAACAGATAGATGGGTGGATGGATGGGTGGATGGATAGATGGGTGGATGGATGGGTGGGTAGAAGACGGATGGCTGGATAAATGGATGATAGATGGATGGACAGATAAGATGGATGGATGGCTGGATGGATGGTTGTAGGGTGGATGGCTGGATAGACAGATGGGTGGACAGATGGGTAGACAGATGACCAGATGGACAGATAGATGGATGAAGGGATGGCTGATGGATGGCTGAATGGATGGATGGATGGGTAGATGGGATATGAGTGGACTGGTTAGCATGCTGGTGGGTTTTAGGTTGCTGGATGGATGGTGGATGGACATGGGATGATGGGGTGTGACGGGTGGGTGGTTGGAGCTGCAGGTGTCAGAACGGAAGTGGGTGAGGGGGTTATGGGAAGATGGTCAGACAGTGGATGAGGAAGAGCGAGGTGGTGGCCAGGGTCTGGCTATAGGGCACTGGGGGGAGCTAGGCATCCTCTGGTCTGCCGGGGAGCAGAGCCTCACCTTTTCCAGGTAGTTAAACTCCATGGCGATTTCCCGGAAGAAGAAGTAGACATGGCTGCCCCACTCCACCGCGTGGACAAAGTAGGGCTCTGTGGGAGAGGAGGTCAGAGCCGGCCCCGGCATCAGCAGGGGGCTGGGTCAGTTTTATGATCAAAGGGGGATCTAGGCTGGCTTCTCTGCAATATGAACAGGTTTGCTAATTTGCCAGTGCCAGTGGCTCACGCCTGTCATCTTAGCTACTCAGGAGGCTGAGCTCTGAGGATCGCAATTGGAAGCCAGCCCAGGCAGGAAGGTCTATGAGACTCTTATCTCCAATTAACTACTCAGGAAAAGCCAGAAGTGGTGCTGTGGCTCAAGTAGCAGAGCGAGTGCTAGCCTTGAGCACAGAGGCTCAGAGACAGCACTTGGACCTGAGTTTAAGCCCCAGAACTGGCAAAAAATAAATAAAATTGCTCTTCCTTCCTTCCTTTCTTCCTTTCTTTCTTAAGAGTCTCGTGGGCTTTCTTCCCCGGGCTGGCTTTGAACCACGATCCTCAGATCTCAGCCTCCTGAGTAGCTAGGATTATAGGCGTGAGCCATCCAGTGTCCATTTGTTGTTATTTTTGTTTGTTTTCTTTTGTCTTTTTTTGTTTTGTTTTGTTCACGGGGCTTGATCTCAGGGCTTAGGTACTTTCTCTGAGCTCTTTTGCTCAAGGCTAGCACTCTACCACTTTGAGCTACAGCACCACTTCTGGTTTTCTGTTGGTTCACTGGAGATAAGAATCTCAGGGGCTGGGAAGGTAGCTCAGTGGTAGAGCGCTAGCTTTGAGCTGAAGAGCTAAGGGACAGCACCCAGGCCCAGAGTTCAGGCCCCACGACTGGACCTTTTCCCCCCCCCAAAAAAAAGAATCTCAGATTTTCCTGCCCAGGCTGAACCGAGATCCTCAGATCTTAGCCTTCTTGAGTAGGTAGGATTATAGGCGTGAGCCACAGGCACCTAGATTTCTTTTTGTCTTGTTTGTTCATTTATCTGTCTTTGGGAACCTAAGAATGGGATACAGAAATGAAGGGACAAAGGGTAAACTAATGCAATAGTGGTACTCACTGGATGCTGTGTTGAAAATGAACTATACAACTTGTGGTTGGAGATGGGAGGAAAAATTGGGAGAGAGAAAGGGAACAGGGGACACTGTCCAAAAAGAACATACGCTTTACCTGACTTATATAACTGTAACCCCTCTGTACATCACCTTCATAATAACAATAACAGTAATTTTTAAAAAGGCCAATCATTGCAAAGATGAGGTAAGAGTCCTCTCTGTGGCACCTCTGGGGCTCTTACTCTGGTGGGGGGATTGGATGGATGTCTAGGTTCTAGGTATAGGCTCGTAGCCTTTCCAGGCCTCACCTTTGAACCACTTGGAGTCGTGTTTTACAGTGCGCAGGGTGGGCCGGTCCCCAAGGCTGCGGTAGATGACAGCATCGATGGCTAGGAAGTCGGTCACCGTGGCTGAGAAAAGCATTCCATCTGGATCCCAGCGAGGGGGAGGGGGAGAGGAGGCAGTGGAGAGGCCCAGAGCAGTCAGTGTGGGTAAAAAAAGAGTCTGCCGTAGCCAGGCGCCCGTGGCTCTCGCCTGTCATCCTAGCTACTCAGGAGGCTGAGATCTGAGGATCGAGGTTCAAAGCCAGCCCGGGCAGGAAAGTCTGTGAGGCTCTTATATCTAACAAAAACCACTAGAAAACCAGAAGTGGCTTTGTGGCTCAAGCAGTAGAGTGCTGGTCTTGAGCTGAAGAGTACAGGGACAGCTCCCAAGCCCAGAGTTCAAGGCCCACGACCGACCAAAAAAAAAAAAAAAAGAAAAAAGAAGAGAGCCTGCCTTGACCCAACCCCTACCCAGGGGTGCGTCTGTCTCCAGGCTGAGCCAGGGCACCATCCAAACACAAATCTAGACTGATTCCTGCTTCAACATGAGTATCAAACCCAGCTCTGCCTTGATATGCTGAGCCTAGATCTCTAATGAGGTCCCAATACAGGCTCTAGTACAAGCCCAGCTGAGCCTGGATCCCAGGTTGAATTACAGACCCCAGACTTTGTCTAGCCACCCCACCCACACCCTGACATCTGGTTGCACTCCTGGCCTGGGCCGTCCCACAGCCAGTGGACTGGTCACCCAGCTGTCTGTGCTAGGCCTGCCTGGGCCTGGCTGACCCTGTGGTGTGGGGGTCCAGGGTTCACTCACCTGAGAAGAGGGCAACATTGGCGTGCTTGGGGTCATATGGGCACCGGGCCATACCGCTGATGTTGTCCCCCAGAGGCTGCAGTGTGTCCATCTGCAGGAGGACCAGGCCTGAGTGACCACTCCCCTGGCCATGTCTGGAACCTCCCAGCTTCCCACTCCAGTAGTCCTGCTTCAGCACAGATTACTGTGTGACCTTGTCCAGTCCCTTGACCTCTCTGGTCTGTAGTCAATCCTGGTCAGTCCTATGACTAGCTGCTCAGGGGTCCCTTGAGCCCTACAGGGCCTCCTTTGGACAGCACTGGCTCCTGTGGAGCCTGGGGCAGGGGTAGATTCAGGAAGGCATCCTGGAGGAGGTGGCTATGGGCACGCACGGGCAGACTCACACTGTAATTGGCACACACGGGATTGAAGGCGTTGGAGCCGCACACGAATAGCGTGGACTCATCCCGGAGCAGCAGCACCTTCACAAAGTTCCTGCACTCGCCCTGGGGTGGGGAGGGGACAGAGGGAAGCCGGTGTGGGCGTGGTTCTGTGGAGGTGGGCGTGGCTGTGGCAGAGGGAGGAGCCCAGATGGACCTAGGGCTTCCGGAGAAGGAAGCAGCGGTAGGGGTGGGGGATGTGGACCAGGTCTGCACTGGCGGGGGGGCGGGGGGGGCGGGGAGAATGGGGAGGCTGGGCGTAGCTTGGGCGTGGCCAGCGCCCAATGAACGTGACCAGGTTGGGGGCGTGGTGGTGGAATGCTGGATGCAATTGGGGGCGTGGTCAGAGCAGGCTGGGATTAGCTGGGGCGTGGCCCTGGCGTGTTGGATGTGGCTGGGGGCGTGGCCACGTGTTGGGTGCGCTTAGGGTTGTGGCCATGTAGGTGGGGCGTGGTCTGTGCACGGTGGGCGGGGCATGTTGCTCTTGGGGGCATGGCCTGTGCACGGTGGGAGGGTGGGGCGTGGGCGGGGCGGCCGCGGTGGGGTGCTCTCGGGGGCGTGGCCTGGGCTGGGTCTGTGTACGCTGGGCATGGGCGTGGCGGCCGCGGCGGGGGCAGGGCCTCGGCTGGGTGCTCTTGGGGGCGGGGCCTGTGCTCGGTGGGTGAGGCGGGGGCGTGGCCTGTGCACGGTGGGCGGGGCGGGCCGCCGCGGCGGGGGCGGGGCCGCGGCGGGGTGCTCTTGGGGGCGGGGCCTTGCTCGGTGGGTGAGGCGGGGGCGTGGCCTGTGCACGGTGGGCGGGGCGGGCTGCCGCGGCGGGGGCGGGGCCGCGGCGGGGTGGGTGTGGCTGAGGCACCGCCCACTCACCTCCTGCTTGCCCTTCATTCTGCACACGTCGATGTCGTTAGGGTTGGAACGCCAGGTCAGCTTCTGTAGGCAAAGAGAGCTCCTGAGCCGGGTGGGGGGCCAGTGCCTGGTGGGCACGGCTGGGTCCACCAGGGCCCCCCACTTCCTCCTCTGGCGCTCCAGGCCCCGCGCCCCGTCCTCACCCGCTGGTACCGCAGCTCCGTGGAAGTGGGGGGCTCGAGCTCCACCCGGTACAGGTTGTCTCTGTGGGAGGGGCGTCGTGAGCGGGGTGGGGCTCCCCACACCCGCACCCCATCCACCCGGGGAGTCTAAGACTCTGCCAGGCGCAGCCCCAACAAAGCCCCCCACCCAGGGCCCGGTCCCCCAGTGGTCCAGGCCTGTCACACCCACGGCCCCCTCCTGGGGGTGTGCCCCAAGGGGGCTGGCACCCCGCTCTTCCCCTCCCCGCTTCATCCCTGCAGGCGGTGCCTCCTCCACCCTCTCCCCCCACCCGGAGCATTTCACCCCCTGGTCACCGCAGCTGGTCACCCCCTCTCCTCCACACCCCGCACGTGCTGCCGCCCGTGGGGCCACCCCCCTCTGCCAGGGTGCAGAGCTGGGGCTCTCCCTACCCCCCCCCCCACGCCTCCTGAGCCCAGTCTACAACCCTACTACACCTCCAAACCTATCTCTAGCCCGCAGACTCGGGGGTCCAGCTGGCTGCTCCAGGTCCCCCCAGACCTGCCCCTCCCCTGCTGAGGGCATGTCTCTGTTCATGCCGAGGCTCAGATCCCACAACCCGGGAGGAACCCCAACCCCACACTGTTCTTTCTCCTCCTCAGTACAACCCATGGGCCAGTGCTGCAGACGCTGCCCCTCAAAAGCACCCAGAACCTTCCAGCTTCTCACTGCGGCAGACACCAGAGGCCACCCATGGGCACCGCGTCCGGTCCCTCCCTCCTCTGCCCACTGCCCTCCACGGCTCCCACCCCACTCAGGGTCAAAGCCAGATCCTCCCCGCGACCCCCAGGGCCCTGCTCCTCCTCCCTCTTGCTCCCATAGGCCAGGCTCCCTCCTGCCCCAGGGCCTTTGCCCCGGCGGTGCCCTCCACCTAGAACATTTAGAAAGTTTCCTGTGACTGAAAAAAAATCATTTAGGTCTCAAGCCAAAGTCACCTCCTCAGAGAAGCCCTCCGGATTGCCTTTGAGAGTTCCCCACGGTGATTCCATGGCCGAGTGGCCCCCTCCCCCAAGGACACCCCTCTGTGGCGCTCAGTAGCACCCAGCGCCCCCATGGTCCCACCACACGGCATGCATGCAGCACCTCGAATCCGCGCTCCGTGCTCTCATGGGCACCCCCAGCCTCCCCATACCTGTCCCCAATAAACAGCGTCCTGTTCACGCGCAGCACCCGCTGGATGTTGAGGTCGTCGGCGCCCTCGGCGGGGGTCAGGCGCCCCGGCCCGCTGCCCACGAACACGGGGTAGTGGCTCAGATCTGGGAGGGAGGGGAGGAGGGAGGGGGTGAAGGAGAGGCGAGATGGGGGAGGGGAGCTGAGGTCAGGCCATTTCTAGGGGAGGTGTGAGGCCAGCATGGCTGAAGCAAGATTCCCCCCTCCTCGCCCTCACCCCCCCTTCAACAGCCACAACTCACAATCCCGGGGGGCCACGCTGAGGGGCGGAGGTTCCTCCGGGAAGAGGCCGTGGGCCACCCCCAGGAGCAGCAGCAGCAGCAGGGCCAGGCGGGGAGGGGGCGCTCGCGGGGTCCGCATGGCGAGGGCCAGGGGGGCTGGCGTGACACCTGGGGGGAAGGGGGAGTTGAGGGGAGGGAGGGAAGGGGAGGGGAAGAGAGGGAGGAGAGAAGAGGGAGGGAAGGGAGGGGAGGGACCGTGAGCCCGCGCCTGCAGCCCCGCGCGCGGCCCGCAGGGGGAGCGCCACGGCCTGGCCAGCATTTCCCACGCGGGGAGGAATTGGAAAAAACAACCAAACTGGTGGCAAAAATTAGCTAATTAATCATTAAAACCCGACCCCACCGCCACCAAACGATGCAATGCACGGCACAGCTTCAGGATGAGGCGAGGGAGGGCCGGGAGAGCAGGAGGTGATGACAGACAGGACAAGGTCGGAGCCCACCCCACGCGCAGCCCGCCGCCCCCCCGGCCTCCACGCGGCGTCTGGACGCACCTGACCGGCTAGAGGGTGCCTGCTGGCCCTGGCCCGTGTGTGCTGAGGACCTAGGTTCAACCCTCTCCATCCCCGGCCCCCAATACTGGAAACTAAAATGACAGCCAGGCTGGGGGCAGCGCACGTCTGGAATCCTGGCTATGCTGGCTATGCGGGAGGCCGTGGGCCGGAGGATCGTGGTTCGAAGCCCAGCCCAGGCAGAAAAGTCAGAGACTCTCTATCTCTCGATGAACCAGTCAAAAGCTGGACGGCAGGCCTGGCTCCAGGGGCACAGCCTTGAACAGGAAAGTCAAGCCAGCTAGAGGTCCTGAGTTCAAACCTGGGCTCTGGCAGCTAACAACAACAAATAATAATGGAGAACGGTTCCTGGGAATTTTGTAGACCACCACACGGGAGCTAACGGGAACGGTAGGGAGGATCTCACTGCCTCCTCAGGTCCTGCTCCCGGCCCCCCTGGGTCCCCAGCTTGGGTACCTCTGAGACGGGCGCCCCACTACCTCCGCGGGCGCCTGCTTCTTCCTTCTCCCATCGCGGGGCTGGGCCTCTGGCGCCCAGCCTTCCCAGCCTGGAGGGCCTTGGCCAGGCCCCCTCCCGATCAGAAAGGAGGGGGTTCCATCCTGGGCCTGGGGGGACCCGCGTCAGAATCACAGCGGCCTCCTTGCTCTGGGAAGTCTCCAGCAGACCCGGGACCTCAGTTTCCCCATCTGAGCGGCAGGGAGGGCTTGGCCTGGCCTTGTGGCTTCAGGGTGGGGGAACAGAGACCCCCCCCCCTCCCCAGGGTGAGCCGATCTCCTACGGTCAGGACCCAAAACAGGAAGACCCCGTGTGGCCCGCCTGGCTTTCCTCTCCGTGACCCCCCGGCTTCCGGGATTTGTGAGTCAGCACGGCCGGAATCCACGTGTCCCGAGCTTTCCTTACGTGGCTTCCTTCCCCGGCCCCTCGGGGCCCCAGACTCTGCACTCTGCTTGGCACACAGGGAGGCTGACCTCTGACCCTGCCTGCAGCCTACCCTGGAGGGGGGCTGTATGTCTGTGTGCCTTCCTTCCCCCCCACCCAGAACACCTGCCACCCCAGTGCTTGGCCAGCTCCGGCATCTTCTTTCCACAAACAGACGTCCTGCAGAACGGACCATCTGAACGGCGTGGGAGAGCGTGGCCCGGCAGCAGCTCCTAAGTTCACTTTGTTGTATGGCTGTCCCTACCCGCTGCTTCCAGAACCTTCCTTCCACCTCCGACGCTGACAGGCTGCCTCCGTTCACAGTGTGAACCCCCATCCCCTCTCTGCCCCTGGCCCCACCTCCTCCCATCTGCCACCTCCGGCATGTCGCCAGGCTCGGGCATCCAGGGTGTCTGTCCTCCATGGTGGAGCAGGTGATGAGTCCCTTCCTTTTCATGACTGCATAGTATTCCAGCCTATAGAGACCGCATGCTGTGTTTCTATTCTCTACAATGCTTGCCCAAGGGCTGACTGCTGTGAACCGATGGCTGGCGAGCAAGGCCAAGCCCCAGCTTTCAGTCCGTGTGTGTGTGTGTGTGTGTGTGTGTGTGTGTGTGTGTGTGACTGCAGCCATCGATCCTCCTGCTTCAGCCTCCCTAGTGCTCATCTCAAACTAAAACTACACTAGGGGCTTTGCTCCAGAACCAAGCTGTGAGTTTTAATCCCAACTCTGCTACTTCTGTGCTTGTGTGACTCAGGACAGATCTTGCTCCCTCTCTGGTTTCCCCGCTCTGTAAATGGGGAAGGAGACCCTGCTCACAGGCCCGTGGTGGTGGTGGTACCAATACAGTGCCTGGCATACAGCCGGTACCCAATAAATGCTCATTCTTACAGCTGTCTGTTCGCATCTGAAGCAAGAGGGAGGAGCAGAGTGGGCTCGGAGAAGCCGGAAGCCCACTTTGCCGGTGGAGAAACTGAGGCTTGGGTTTGGGAGCCGTGTTCCCCGCAGAGGACGCAGCTGCTAAATGGGAAGCCTAGGGCTGGGGGACCCCAGAGGAAGGGAATATTCCATACTCGAGGGCTGTCCTGGCCTTCCTTCTGGTCTTGTTTCCCACAGGTCCCTGATGAGGCCCAGCCCACCCCGCCAGCCAGCACAGGGATCTTTCCAGAAGTCAGCTCCCACCTGCCCCTCCCAGGAGACCCCACAGGATCAGCCCCTCTGGGGCCAGGTGGGAAGCTTCCCATGCAGCCCCGCGCTGACCTCCGAACCCTGGGGAGGGCACAATCCCCCCCCCCCCCCCCCCCCCGCCCCCAGCACCTCAAGGGGGTCTGGCCAACAGGGGGCGCTCAGTATACACTTCCACAAAGAACAAAATAAGCACTTATGCAGCCCTTGCATAACCACGCATTGTTAAATTAATTCCTGTACCCGAACATGCAAGAAGCAAAGGGCTGTGCACAGTAGGGAAACTGAGGCACTTCCCCAGAGCCCAGAAACCACGGGCCGCCATGTGCCATGGGGGGGGGGGAAGGGATGGTCTGGGCCATGCCACTGAGGGTCCATCCACGGAGCTGGCCTCAGTTTACCCTCCCAACCTGGGGTAACCAAAGGCTTCATGAGACCACATGCCTGACCCGTGTGTGCACTCCTGGCGGCTGGGGACAGAGGCCCCTAGCCGGGCGTGGTGGCATACACCTGTAATCCCAGCTATGTGGGGGTGGGAGATTGGGAGGAGAGTGGTTCAAGGCCAGCCTGGGCAAAAAGTTAGCAAAACCCCATCTCAACAAACAAGGCCAAGCTGGGCGCCGGTGGCTCACACCTGTCATCCTAGCTACTCAGAAGGCTGAGATCTGAAGATCCAGGTTCGAAGCCAGCCCAGGCAGGAAAAAGTCTCTGAGCCTCTCATCTCGAATGAACCACCAAAAAGCCAGAAGTGGCGCTGTGGCGCAAGTGGCAAAGTTTATCCTTGAGCAAAAGAAGCTCAGGGATGATAGTATCCAGGCCGTGAGTTCAAGCCCCAGGACAGCCCAGAAAGAAAGAGAGAGAGAAGAGAGAGGGGAAGGAAGAAAGGAAAATGAACCAGATTTCACCTGTTGATGTTCAAGGCCCCCTCCCAGCCAGATATGGCCGCAGCCCTGGCTCTCCCCGGCAGCCAGGCCCCACGCATGCCAGGCCTGCCCGGGCTGTGCGCTCGGCCCTTCTTGGCCTTGGTACAGCCAGGCTGCCAAGTGTCACCACCTCCCTCCTCGAAGGCCCCAGCGGGAGCCACCTCCTCCAGGAAGCCTTCTTGGACTGCCTCCATCTCCCCCCGGCCACCTCCACAATCCCCCTGCCCCGCCCCGGCCGCACGCTGACCCTGCAGTGTCCAGCTCTGGCCCCCAGACCCGGGACCCAAGGACACACCTTCATCCACTCATGTGATGAGCACTGAGATCCAGGCCCGGGGTCCCAGCCCCACCCTCCCCGAGACCCCAAGGCTCACGGCCCTTGCTGTGCATCCCAGGGCCCACATCGCACCCTCCCTGGCCCGGCTGGGCGTCCCCTCCATCCTTCAGTTCCACGCAAGGCCTGGTGTCCCCTGTGGGGATTGAGTGACCACGGCCGGCCAGGTCCGGTTACAGCTCCACTTACAGCCGCTGCCAGCTGCCTTTGCAGGCAGTCGGGTTGTCTAGGAACTTGGCGAGGGGGGGCGGGTTCTCGGGGTGCCAAGTAGAAGCCCCGGGCCCCACCCATGACATCTCCACAAGCCTGAGGGGGTCTGCCAGGGCATCGCATCCATCCTAACTCTTTTTCCCGGGCCTCAGTTTCCCTACTCTCAGCCACACACATGCAAGGCCACATATCCAGCGGGCAGCTATGCAGCCTGGGCTCAGGCCTGGCCCTCTCTGGGCTGACCTCCTCCTCCCAGGAACACAGTCAGGGCTGTGGGCTCTGACAGATGTGTGCATGAGCCGGGCGCTGGTGACACACGCCTGTCATCCGAGCTACTCAGGAGGCTGAGATCCGAGGATCGGGGTTTGAAGCCAGCCCAGGCAGGAAAGTCTGTGAGACTCTGAGCTCTGATAAACCACCAGAAAACTGGAAGTGGCGCTGTGGCTCAAGTGGTAGAGCGCTCACCTTGAGCTGAAGAGCTGAGGGACAGCGCCCAGGCCCAGAGTTCAAGCCCCAAGACGGGCAAAATAACTAAATAAATACATCCTCCTCTGTTCTTCCCTGTGTCTGGAGCACAGCACTTAAAGAGCACCTGCTGTATACTCACAGCACCTACTATGTGTTCCCAACAGAAAGAGAGAGAGGGAGAGGGAGGAGAGGAGACGGATGGGGGGAGCTGTTGTGAGCACTCTGCAGGGAAGGGAAAGCAGCTCAGGCTGGCAGGTGGCTCGCTGGCACCAAGTGGCCAGGCTGGTATTTGAACCAGACCATGTGGTGGAATCCAAAAACCACACTGTCTCCTCCTCTGCCCAGCCCTCAACATCATCGCCTACCAGGCCCCCAGCTCCCACCCACCGCCGTCTTGTCCTCCTTGCAGCCGCCAGAGGGCACCCCTGAGCACCGAGTCCGGTCCCTCCCTCCTCTGCCCACTGCCCTCCACGGCTCCCACATCCCCGCAGGGTCAGAGCCCAAGTCCCCGCCGCCGCAGCCCCTGGCGCAGTGCCCTGGGCCTACCTGGCCCCTCTTGGCCTCCTCCTCCTCCTCCCTCTTCTCTGGCTACCCAGGCCTCCTGGCTGCTCCTCCAGCTCATCAGGCAGCGTCCTGCCGCCGGGCCTTGGCACAGGCTGCTGCTGCCCTGGGGTCTGGGGTGCTGGTTCTTTCTGCTCAGCTCCGTCTCCCAGCACTGATGTCTCCTTCCTCCTCAGCCCGCCTCCCGCTCCCGGACACCCCCACCTTCCAGCCAGGAAAGCCAGTCACTGCTTCCCTTTTTTTTTCCTTCCTCTGTCTGAAGCAGGATTCACACTTGGGACCCGTGGTCCCTTTGGCTCATTGGCTAACCTGAGCCACCCCTCCAACCGCTCCACCAGCCACTCCTCATGCTGCCTCCTTTAATTCAAAGGTTAGTGATTTTGTTCCCATCTGGTTGTGAATCTGACCAGGGCAGAACCGAATGAATCCGCCTCAGCCATTGACATCAGATGGGGACACTGAGGCACGGAGGGACGGCCTGCGTGAGTTAGACCCACAGCTGGAGCGGCTCTCAGGCCCCACACTCTAGAACAGCGGCCCCAGGCGCTGACACGACCTGTCTCCTGGCCAACTCCTATACATCCGTCCTTTTCCTAGCTGTAATGCCCCCTCTTCCATGCCTCTTCTCCGATCGTGAGTCAGGGGCCAGCTTTCCCTACCACCCCCCGGGGAATCCCAGGTCTGAAACATCCCTCGTTCTTTTACTGCTCTGGAACCTTCTAGGGGGATAATGCTTGATGCTCCCTCGAGGCTTCCTCTTGGGGAGTCCCATAGCCCTCTTCCAGGCAAGCCCTACCCTGCTTCCTTCCTCCCCCCGCCCCCCAATTCTCTAGCATCAGGGAACGGGGCCACACCCCAGGGTCAGCTCAGGACACCCTCCTTCCCAGAAGAGCAGCGGTGACCAGCGCGCGCTCTGTCCCGGGGGACTGGCTCACCTGTCCCTCTGGCTGACGTCAGGGTCACCTTTTCCAAGGGCAGCGTTTGATTGTTATCTTCCAGGTCCGGGAGCCCAGCAACTCCTCGGGCTCCTCGCGCCCCACGCTGCCCTTCCTCCAGCTCCCTCCACTGCCCCTTCCCTGCCCGCGGCCGGAGGGGGGGTAGGCCGGAGGCCCCCCGCAATGGTGGGGGCCAGCCGGGCCGGCAGGGGCAGGTGAAGGGGTGA